TCTTTCTTTGTTGTTTCAGTGGCTCGCCTTCGATCATACATATTAAAGTTCTTCTTTGTCACTTAAAAATATAACGTAATCAGATTTTCCTGGTGTTTTTTATTAAAACAGATTTATTCTTCTTGCTTCGCAAATACAAAATCAGTACTTACAACATCATTGATGTTAAATTGGTCCACAGCTGATGGCACTTGCTGGACATTCAGAGTGCAAAGACACTTTCCCTTGATGTCCTGCTATTGATACAATATGCTTGTTGGCAATTCTAATAACCCTATTAGGCCATCCCATCTTCCATGGACACTCAGAAATATAAAAGATTGTCATCTGTTCATGTCACTCAAGATCAACCACAACTCAGTTTGAAATACAGTTAAGAACCATTTTAAAAATATAGAATATTTCACAGAAGGATCATTGGAACAAGAGATTCTGCAATAAAACCAGATCATTTTACAGAGATTATTTTCCCAGGATCAGTTGAGGCAGCTATCAAAGACAGCATTTTGATTACAAGAACAAAGATAAAAGCAAGTTTGTGGAAAAGCAAAAGAAGCATAAATTCTGATTCCAAGACAGTAGCAGAAAGACTATTGTAGTTTTTCAAAGAATGGCACAATATTACTACAGACAGAAGGATCCTCTCGGTTATAAAAATAGGTTATTACATAGACTTTGACAGTCCTTCTCAACTTTGCTCCATAGTTCAATCTCCCATCAGGTCAAGGAATCTCTTTCTAGAAGGTTTAAACCTTGTCCAGAGAGTCATAGGAGAACTTCATCCCACAGATTACTTCAAAGGGACTTACTCAAGACTATTTTCAGTAAAAAACAAAAACAAAAAAAACAGATGGCTTTCAGACAAATTTTAGATATTAAAAAAAATAAAATTTTCACTTTACCCAGAAAAGATTCCATATGGAGACCATCGTTTCAGCTATGCATTTCATCAAAGAAGGGGACTGGTTGTGTTCTTTGGATCTAAAGGAAAGAAGAAATTTTTTAGATTTTAGATTTCGGTAAAAAGTAAACTTGTTCATTATCTGTTCAAAAGTCTTCCCCTTGGCCTTTCCTCTGCTCCTCAAATTGTCACGAAAGTTCAAGTAGTTGTTGCTGCAGCTCTGAGAAAATAAAGTCTTCATATTGTCCAATACCTGAATGACTGGCTATTGAAAGCAGACTCAGCAACAAAAAATCTTCAGGATATCCAAACAGCTTCACAGTCAGTGGCGGATCTAGGTGGGGGAGGGGGCAACGGGGCAATTGCCACCCTCCCCCCAGATAGAAGTGCAACATGATGAGACTGCTTCGCTGCTGCCCTTCTATCTACACCAGTTGTAGATAGAAGTGCATCAGCAGCAACAGACCCTACCCCTCTCGACACTTACCCCGGCGGTGCTGGCTTCTGGAAGGAACTGTCTGCACAGAAGCACATCTCCCACTGGACCCACAAATAACAGGATTCCCCCCTCCGTGACCCAAGGTAAGCCTCAGGAAGTGGGGAATACATTAGTTTTATTTTCTTCAGCACCCGAAGTGCAGTCCATATGCCCTAATACATCCCTTACCATCCACCAGAGCCCCTAACCTCCCCTACTAAAGCCCCTAACACACCCTTCTAAAGCCCCTTGCTCCTTACTACACTCCTAACCCCCCATTACAGTCTACTAAAGCCCCATACTAGACCCCTAAACCCCCTTTATAGCACATAACCCCCTACTAAAGCCCCTTACTATACCCCTAAACCCCCACTACAGCCCCTAACCTCCTAACCCCCTACTAAAGCCCCTTACTCCTTACTACAGGCCCTAACCTCCTCTACTAAAGGCCCTTGCTCCTTACTACACTCCTAACTCCCACTACAGCCCCTAACCTCCCTTATTAACCCCTTAAGGACACATGACATGTGTGACATGTCATGGTTCCCTTTTATTCCAGAAGTTTGGTCCCTAAGGGGTTAAAGCCCCTTACTCCTTATTACACCCATAAACCCCCATTAAAGCCCATAACCCCCTACTAAAGCCCCTTACTCCTTACTACAGGATATAACCTCCCATACTAAAGCCATTTACTCCTTACTACAGCCTCAAACCTCCTCTACTAAAGCCGCTTACTCCTGCCCCTAACCTCCCAACCAAAAGCCCCTTACATCTTACTACAGCCCCTAACTGTCATGGTGCCTAATTGGCACCTCAGTGTGACCCCATCTGATTGGTGCAGTCACACTAAAGGAGGTAGAGGTTACTCACCTTACATCCAGAGCCTCTCCCTCCTCAATACAACGGCCAGATCCAGCATTAGGAATACCGCTTTATAATAACGCCACTCACAATGACGTCACTAGTGGTGTGAACGTGCATGCAGCATTATGTTTTCGCAGTGCACGCACGTTCTGGGGTCATGGGACCCAAAATAGCCATTAGCAGGGTTTACTGGGTTATTTAAACCCAAACCTGCAATGGTTCAGTACCCTGTCGTGGTTTCCATCGTGTTGGTTATCCAAGAGCGCGTTCCTGATACTGTTTATTGATCTTGGCTTGACCCTTTGGCTTTTATCTTATCGTATTTGCTCCTTTCTGTATTCCTGACCTCGGCTCGTGACGGTTTATTCTATTACGTTAAATCCAACCATTTAAGGCCCGGTAATACGTTGTTACGGTTTGTCTTTGCTACGTGTTTTACTTAATTCTGCGAATACTGGTTCGTCCTGACACTAACAATCTTACTAAAGCCCATTACTTTTTACTACAGCCCCTAAAATCTCTACTAAGGCCCCTTACTCCAAACCCTAATACCCCTACTAAAGCCCCTTAAGTTTTACTACAGCCCCTAACCCTCACAATTGCAGTCCCTAACCCACCAATTGCAGTCCCTATGCCCTACAACCCCAAGCCCCCTACTAAAGCCCTTTTAACCAAACAGCAGCCCATATTCCCCCACTGCAGCCCCTATCCTTACTACTGCCCCTTATCTTATCCCCCTATGGTAGTCTCTACCCCTCATTACAGTCCCTACTCTCCAAATGTAGCTTCTATCCACCACTACAGTGACAGTCCCTACCCTCCAAATGTAGCTTTTATCCCCTCTACAGTCCCTACCTTCCAAATGTAGCTACTATCCCCCACTACAGTCCCTAACCCCTAATGAAGCTCCTATCCCCCCACTACAGTCCCATTCCTCCACTTCAGCCCCTAACACCTATACTACAGTACATAACCCTTCTACCACAGTCCCTTACTCCTCTCTGCAGCCCATATTCTGCACTAGTCTCTACCCCCTATATGCAGCCTATATCCCCCACACTACAGCCCCATTCATCCCAACTTCAGCCCATATCACCCCACTACCGCCCCTAACTCCCCTACTACAACCCATATTCCCTTACTAGAGTCGCTACCCCCACTACAGACCCTCTTCCCCAATTGCAGCCCATATCCCCTGCTACATAACCCTAACACCCCATTTACAGTCCTTAATCCTCCTACTACAACCCTTATCCCCCACTACAGTCCCTATCCCCTACTACAGCCCCAGTCCCCCTATAGAGCTCCTAGCACCTAACTCATCAATTACAGACGCTGCTTTCCCATTACCGCCCCTATCACTCCACTACAGCCCACTACCAGTGCCCTCCTGAGATTAGGCTCTGGATCCGCCTCTGTTCACAGTGCTTAGACAAACATGTCTGTATTCTAAATCATTAAAAATCTGAATTAGTGACCAGAACCACTAAAGCCTAATGTAGCTGGTCCTTGCATGCTGAGCACTGTATGTGCTGCCTTTTCAGAGAAAAGGGCAGTGTTTATATTGCTGCCTAGGAGCACCTCTAGTGACAGTTACTCAGATGATCACTAGAGACGCTTGCTATCTCAGAATTATGTCCTACCTCACCTACCTTCAGCGTCTCTGTGCTCTGCAAGGAAACGCTGAACGCTACCCATAGAGATGCATTGATTCAATGCTTCTCAATGTGGAATTGCTAATTGGTGCAGTGTGGCATTTTGTTGCGCATGCCAATAGCCTCAAAACTGATGATACCAGCCATCGAGGCGGAGGCATCCGCGGCAACACCAGCACAGTGTGGGAGAAAAGATAAGTTTAAACACATTTCCCATGCGATCATAGGGGGACTGGTGACCTAAATAGCCAGTCTAATACTATAGTGTCAGGAATAAATCTTTAACCCCTTAAGGACCAAACTTCTGAAATAAAAGGGAATCATGACATGTCAGACATATCATGTGTCCTTAAGGAGTTAAAAGGAAGATTTTTCCAAGTCTTCCATTTTGCCCTAAATTTTGCGAGTCAGTTTTCAACTTGCTAAAACACACTGCTTAATTAATAGACCCATTAGGAGACCCTGCAGATAAACTAGGAACAGACTTTCAAGGTTTTAAAAATGAAACTGAGGAGGAAGTAGTGGAATACAAGCTGATGGCAGAGGGAGAGAGAATAAACAGATCTAGCAAGAAGGAACGATACTAATGTGGAAGGGAGTTAAAAAAAGGAAAACAGTTATGGCGTCAACATTAAATCCTTCCACTTTGTATGCAAAGGGATTTTTATAAGGGGAAATGGTTACATTGATGGATAAGGGATAATATGATCATTGCAGAGGGACTAAAATTGACATTGCAGGGACCAATTGTAAAAGCAATGTATTCTAAATATTTAATTTAGTATATCAACAGCAGTTTATTCTCTATTTTAAAGCTGCTTGTGCAACATATTACAAAGTTACAACATTGTAAAGAAAAATAATATACATTGTATAGAAATAGTCAACATTGTCTGCATTAAAAAAAAAAAAAAAAAAACCGTGATCCTATCATAAGCAATAAAATACTATTCATTTTCTATCTTATGAATGTGACTGTCGCATGCTCCCAAAGCCCCAGGCAATGGATTATTGAAATGAACACAAAAAAAAAGCCCTGCGTTCCAAGCCTCCTTCTGGATTTGTGACGTGTCCGAAATGACCGTCTCTGATTGGTACGTTGCCGTCGCACAGCCACTACCGGCTTCTGGGCCTGGGCTGAGATCACGTGATAGGTGGCGCTATCACCTGACCTCTTCATCCACATCCCTGCTCGGTCTCTCTCGGGGGCTTATAGCGGTCGCTTGAGGACCGACACCCTGTTTCGGGTCTCTTATCGTCTCTCAGGTGTCAGGTTCTTATTCTGTTGTCGCCGCCGCCGCCATCATGACATCCTTCTCGGAGCTGTATTTCAATGTAGACAACGGGTACCTGGAAGGGCTAGTCCGGGGATTCAAGGCCGGCATCCTGTCTCAGGGAGACTATCTGAACCTGGTCCAGTGCGAGACCCTGGAGGGTGAGTCCGTGGGGGCCGCTGCCGGCTGGGTGTGAGGGCCAGGGCATTGTGTGTGTGTACTGCAAGGCAGGCACTGGGGATTGGAAGTCTGGTCCTGTTCTGCTTTACCAAGGCATTATTATTATTATTATTTTATTATTATTTATATAGCGTTATCAGATTCCGTAGCGCTGTACAATGGGTGGGCTACCAGACATGTAATTGTAACCAGACAACTGAACACAGAGAGGTGGAGGGCCCTGCTCAATGAGCTTATCATGGGAATTGTTTTACACCTAGGGGCTAACTTTGTTATTATACCTGCTTTATAATCTATTTTAGGTGCTGGGACTCTCAGGCTATAGGTTTATAGCCTATTTTAGGGGTTTTCTGTCTATAGGCCATAATCCGTTTTAGGGGCTCTCTGTCTTTTGGTTTTATAATCTGTTTTAAGGGGGTGTAGATATCTGCTACGTGACAGTCTTGTTCTCTTTAAAATTCTAATGGTATGGAATGGATGTAGGAAAAGAGCAGAAACCGCATAGGTGCAATGTGGGATCACTGGTAAGTCCCCCACTTATTTACTATACAATGTCATACCACAACAGAGGTTTCTGAGACACCGTGCTCTGCTTGCTTAAATATTTTTGCTGGAGAATGGGGCTGTTAAATAGAAACATACTCTGCAAACGGGGTCATTGAGCCCACATTGCACCTGTGTAAAGTATCTATGATCTTCATTGATTTATCCCAAGCCATAATTAAAATTGTATAAAACATTGGGTGCCTGAAAATACACAATGACAGAAGTCTTTATATGATAGAGCTGTACATTTGTCTTATTCAAAGGAAAACTACTGTGATTCTTGGATCACTTTCATTAATTTTTATTACACATTAGGAGTAAATTAGTCTTCAGCCTTTTTCAAAAGTCCGGGTTGTTACACAAGCATGTATTAGGCTAGTCTATTCTTAAGTCGAGCCTGCGGAGAAATCGTGGTACTCAACATTTCGGTATAGTTGTCAGGATGATAAAAGGAATATCAGAGATGGAGATATTACAGTATCCAATGATCAATCCATTGAGTGACCAATTGAAATGTATTCAGCTATAATATTGGCCAGTTATAATAGATCAGCTTGAGATGGTTCTTGTTTTAATGGAGGTGTGTCTTGGGCAAACACATTTGCTTGTTCAGAAGATAGAATGTGAGCACATACAGAAAATGTAATTGGTGCAAAATGAGAGTTCTCAGCAACCCAGTGCCCTCTCTGCTGCTTTGACCAATGAGGAAGCATAAGTCTGGGCAGCTGTAATTGTCAGCTGAGTGTGCTTGTATGAATAAACTAGAAGGAAGTGTGTAATCTCTGCCTTAGCCATACCTTCTGTGGGGTGGGGCTATAGGAAGCCAGGGAACCTCGTTCATTGTTAAACTGTTCAAAAATGGTTTAATACGGAACGGAGTGACAATGTCTGTAGACATGAGATGAGATTGTTATAGTGCTTACAGTGTTCCTTTTAACATTTTATTTTATTTAAAAAAAAAAAATTAATAACAATCTCACCCTTACAGTACAGCTGTCTTAATAATGCAGAAAAACACCAAAACAAAAAAGTGAAAGATGATATAAAGTGAAAGCAAGACAATAAAGGTGAAGTATGTATGTATGTGTGTGTGTGTATATGTAACCCCAAAATAAAAAATATATTACCTGGGTGCCTCCAGGCCAATAGGTACACAAATTCAGACAGGAGCACTCACTTGGATTTTCCAATAGTGTATTAAAAAGTATTCATCAATCTACATCAACGTTTCGACCCTTCAGGGTCTTCATCAAGATAATGACAGTGCATAAAATATATATATTCACACCAAATATTAAATATCAAACTTACCCCATCAGTGTGAAATGATTCCCATTACTCATCAAGTGGAAACCGCCGAAGTGTGTGCGTGGTGACGCGGGCGCGTGCGTGATGACATGCATACGTGCGTAATGACGTGCGCGGGGATGTGAACTCGTATAAACAAACAGTGACCATAGTAACCCAACGTATCCCAGTGCTCATCCTGCTTAATGGAGGAGACAAAATAGAAGTACAATATAGCATAACAAAGTCACATAATCCACTACAGAGGTATACTAGTGTTTCAACTATATAAAGATGTGTAAGAAAATGTGAATGAACTGTGTGAATGTAAGATACATGCAATAAGATAAAATATGTAATGTGGTGGAGAAAATGAATATGTGTGTGAATATGTACATGTGTGTGAAAAAATAAAAATAAAACCAACCCATGGGTAGAAATAAAAACACTGCAAATGTGTAGCCCAACCCAGTGATCAGTGACAGTGAAATAGAGTAAGCACAACCCTAGCATATATGTAAACAAATAGACCATAAAAGAATAAATAAATCTGCAATGGTACCCCAATTACCTGGAAGTCCACATATGACAGCTATCACCTTCATGTATAACTCAATAAGCATATCTAAATAGATACCCTTAATAGTTATTAATACTGACTTAATGTTAATAAATATATATCGGGATCTAACTCCTAGGTATGCAAAAAAATTATATATGACAGCTATACAACATCTATGTACATAAACATATCTAAATCTATCCCACTGATTATTACTAATCCTAAATGTGTGTGTGTGTGTGTGTGTATGTATATGTGTATATATGTGTGTGTGTGTATGTATATGTGTATATGTGTGTGTGTGTGTGACTATAAACCATAACCATGTATCCAAAATAACAGATACAGGATGCTGAGGCTGAATGATACCCACTAGTAGTAATAGGAAAAAGTAATCTACACTGGACTACAAATAGTGTATCACAGCATAACACTAGAATAATGACTTGGCGAGTATCCAAAAATGAAGTGAAAGAAATATATTCGTTTAGTCCCTTGGGTTGTAGAGTATCCAACTGCTTGATCCAAAAGGTCTCTTTCTGGTGCAGTAATCTGGAACGGTCCCCTCCTCTCGTTAGGATTGGTATCACATCGATAGCAATAAATTTAAGGGTGGGTAATCGGTGATTGTATTCAAAAAAATGTTAAGCCACCAGTTTGTCCATTTTCCCATCTCTAAATGCAGTCATAATGGCTGATCGATGTCCCCTACTTCTGTCCGAAGAGTAAGGTCCGTTTTACCAACGTAAAAAAGTCCACATGGACAGATGAGATGAGATATGACATGGCCTGTCAAACATGTAATGTGGTGTCTAATCATATACCTTTTTACCAGAGTGTGGATGCACAAACGATGAACCAGTCAACATGTGCCCACATGTAACACATCTGGTACATCGAAAACATCCCATCCTATTAGATTTAATCGGGACCGAGAGAGAGACAGAGAGAGAGATATCTATATCTATATCTATAAGACAAGTTGTTCGGCACATTTTTTGTGCTGAAAACCCCCCACCTGTCTTATACTCGTGTCAATGTCTGTATTATGGCAACTTACATTGCCATAATACAGACCAGGACCGCCGGGCTCATTACAAGCCCGGCAGTCCTGTTGGGGGCTGGGAGCAAGCTGTTACTTCTGTTTACAGCAGCTCCGGTCAGCTCCCTTCTCCTCCATGCCGTTCAGCTCACAGTGTAAGTCTCACAAGAGCCGCGGCGGCTGAGCGTTGCCATGGGTTACTTTGGCAACGCTTTGCGCAAGACTTACAGTGGAGCTGAACGGCATGGAGGAGAAGCAAGCTGAACGGAGCTGCTGTAAAGGTAAGTAACCGCTTGCTCCCAGACCCCCTTCTGCACAGGCCATCCACTGGACCATCAGGGAATCATATAGTCCCCCCTCCCTGGCCAGCTAACAAGCAGGGAGGAGGGCCAAAAAAATAAAATACAAATGTAAACAATATTATAAAAAATTTAATATTAAAAATAAAAATTTTAATATTAAAATAAATAATAAAAATGCCCACCCCCCACCAAGGTTACACACTCTGCATCACGTACACACAAACGCACTCTGCATCACGTACACACAAACGCACTCTGCATCACGTACACACAAACGCACTCTGCATCACGTACACACAAACGCACTCTGCATCACGGACGCACGCACTCTGCATCACGGACGCACGCACTCTGCATCACGGACGCACGCACACGCACTCTGCATCACGGACGCACACACACGCACTCTGCATCACGGACGTACACACACACACACACACACACACACACACACACACACACACACTCTGTAAATAAATATTCAATTAATATAATTTTTTTGGGATCTAATTTTATTTAGAAATTTACCAGTAGCTGCTGCATTTCCCACCCTAGTCCTCTACTCGAGTCAATAAGTTTTCCTAGTTTTTTTTGGGGGTAGAATTAGGGGCCTCGACTTATATTCGGGTCGACTTATACTCAAGTGTGTATATGTGTGTATATATGTATATGTATGTGTGTGTATCCCTCTCCCTCTCGGTCTTTGAAGATTAAAACAAAGTTTGATTATCCATTAAAAATATATAAGATCGACGTTTCAGTCCCAGCAGGGACTTTCATCAGGATCAGACTCACACTCAGTACTTATTTATACTATATCAATTGTAGCAGGGGGAGCAGACCAGCATATCTCTTTCATTTTGGCGTAAATTAACGTATCTTACAAATTATCTTCATAGTTATAGACTTCAGTAGCCTGGTTTGATAATGTCCAAATGCCTATCTACTACAGCCTAACTTTTACATACATGTGAAGTTACAATGTTGCTTTTGTGTACTACATGGATACATTGTAGACCAAGCTTTGGGTTCAGTGGACCCTTGCTCCTCACTTCAGCAGCATGACACAACTCTGCATTGATATGAAAAGGAAAAGTCGTCCCTCTCCTAATCACTCAGCTCAAGTTAGAAAGTAGCTGACAAGTATTTTCTTTTTAAAGTATCTACCACGACTTGTTTGGTAATGAAAGTAAATGCACAATTTTTTTTATAGTAATCCCAGAACATTCATTATGTGCATGTCACTAGTCTATAAATCCAGCGGTCAGCATTGGGTGACCAAAAGTTGTCTAGCAAGCAGGAAATGCTTTTAGTGGCTATTTGATTGACAGCCACAAGAGGCAGTCTTATTCTTGCAATGTAATTATTGCAGTTTCTTAAAAACTGTAATGATTTAAATTGCAGGACTAAGTGGGACTGGGGCTCTGAAGTGGTCTGGGTGCCTATAGTGTCCCTTTTAAGCTGTTGGCAAACACTTTCTAACCAAAATGTGTGCTCATCAACCAGATATTGTGCAGAGTATAGCCTGGTGTAAATTGTTCGTAGAGTTGGCAAGTTGTTGTTTTTTAGGGGGGGACTCCGATACTCAGTACATGTGTACTACTTTTAGTAGTATATTTTGCAACTGGTAGAAAATAAAGGTTTGTGGGTTTGCTTCTATGTGTGTAGTGTTTTTATTTTATTTTTTTCCGTGTGTGTATTTGGGAATTTTTAAGGCTTAACCATTTTTAAATCTTTTATTTATTTATTTTATTTTTTGGAATGTTGAGCAAATGCTTATATAAACAAAATAGTGAGCAGTATTGTGTACTTAGTAAGTTGCACAATATTTGTCTTTCCTCTTTTGATGGCTGAACAGTTGAAAGTTTGCATTGACAGTGCAAGACTTTCCTGTAGACCACTAGGTACTAGTCATTCTCACTGCACAACCAATATGAGACTTTCAATGATTGGATCATTTTTAGTTTCTATTTTGAACCTACAGAATTGAGTTTGCACAAGCTGATATTTCAAAACTCAGGAACTTCTGGAAGAGGAAGTTTTGTAGAAATCTAGAATGTAGTGGGTTTTTTATCTTCCTTTTTTTTTTATTAAATGTTAAATTCTTTGTACTATCCGAAAGCATTACAGGGTTTCTGCAACCCCAAAAAGGTGTTTTTTTTTTCTTCTTCTTAAGTCTTGGTTAGAGTAACCGTTTGTATGCGGGTCAACCAATGGAGGTTTAAACTTGCCTCCATTGCATTACCAAGCCAAGTTCTCTCTGCCGACCTAATTGTCTTCTGCTGACATCACTCCACATCACTCCACATCACTTTAGTGGAAGGGATATCCTGGTGCGTAGTCTGAGTGAATGACTGACTGCATTTTCACAATAATATGAAAGGGTCATTCTAAGCCAAGAGCTTGACAAATTTGCTTGGAATCTAGGAGCCAGGTTTTTAATTACAAAAATACAATTCTTAAAGGGACACTAGTCAACAGAACCACTACAACTTAATGTAGTTGTTCTCGTTTCCCTAGTCTGTCCCTGCAAGCTTTTCAAGATGCCAGGAGGGCCCAGGTGCACTCTCACCTTGGTTAAACCGTTCTCGGTATGAACAATTTCCTGTTCCTAGTTACCCAGGGGTACCAAAAAATAAATTATCATTGGGAATTTACTTATCTTTTCCCTTCATAGAGGTGCCAATAATTCTGCCACACATATAACAAAGATTTTTATCTTTAAATATTTATTTTATAAAGTTGTACTGTTTGCAATTGTCGGTATCCATGACAGCAGAGTATTTTTTGTGCATTTTTTTAAATCAATTAAACAAGACCCTTTTACACAGCCTTCTTTGTTCATATTTACCAAGGGTGCCAATGTTAGTGGAGGGCACTGTTTTTAGCTTTACAATGTGAAACTGCGTTTATGTATTTAGCTGTAGTGTAGGTTGCCAAATTGTTTGCATATGACGTACTGCAGGATGTGACTTTTTCAATGTTCCTCTTTAAAGTTTTTTTTTTTTAATTTATTTTTTTCCTAAGAACTGTTGTCTGCCTGACATTTTACACTGTGAACCTATAACTTAAAGGAACACTGTAGCGTTAAGAATAAAAAATTACCTTGTCCCTAGCTTTAGGGCGGTCTCCATCTCCCTCTGTGACAATGAAAGTGTTAAAAACACCTTTTCACTTACCTTGGATCGCTCTCCTTCAGTAACATCATGCCGATGTAGGAACCTACTGCGTATGAGTCGGAAAGGCCAATTAGGCTTTCCTATATTGATTTTGTAGATGCTGGACGTCCTCATGCAAAACTTGAGGATAGCCAATGTTGTTTCAGGGAGTTAAACTGCGTGAGGAGCCAGGAAGCACCAATAATTGCTGACTGGAAAAGACAGCGATGGTTGTCTTATCCCTGAAATGTAAACATTGCAATTTCTCTGAAACTGGAATGTTTCATTTACAGGTTTAAGGGGACACTGCGCCCCTTAAAAATGGCTAACAAATACAAATGGAAGTGATCCGTTTATGAAATGTTGGTCATGTGCCATGATGACCATTCTGATTTTGTTTTCCTGTTATAGACTTGGCATGTGATGGATAGAGGGCAGGTAAACTCTACATAACTTATTTACACGTTCTGTATTCCCACAATTCCAAGAGATTTGGTGTGATTATAGTTCCCACTTGTATGCCACAAAGCGAGAGGAAGATCTAACCAATTTGTGTTGACATCTATGCAGAGTCTCTTCGTAGTCGTGTGGTCCAAGATCTCTTCTAAGATCAGAAAGTACCTAGATTTAAACTGTGTAAACTTTTGGTGGAAGCTTTCTACCATAGTCTGTTGAACTCATCCGTAGATATTTAAAGAAGCACTCGGAGCACCATTACTGGAGCCAAGAGTGCTTTGATGCCTCACCATTGCCAGTCACCAAACTTTTATAAGCGCTCAACCATGGTGCAAAAGAAGGTTTCCTGGTCTGACGAATCACGTTTTCTTTTAGATGAGACGGATGGCCAAGTGTGCGCATTTTTTACCTGGGGAAGAGATGGCAGCAGGATGCACTATGGGAAGTAGAAAATGTTATACTCTGGGCAAAGTTCTTTTGGGAAATCTTAGATCCTGGCATTCTAGTGGATGTTTCTTTAACACATACCACCTACCTAGAGATTGTTGCAGACCACGTACACCCCATTGAGAAATGGTGTTTCTTGATGTCAGTGGTATCTTTTTGGGTTCGACCGATTATCGGTCTGGCCGATGTTATCTGCCTATATTCTGTATTTTCAGCAATATCGGTATCGGCCAATAAAGATACCGATATTGCCGATTAATGCAGACCAGGGCCGCCATCAGGGTCCTGTGGGGCCCAGCACACTCTTGCCTACCTTCCCAGTAGCTACCCTGTCTAACTCTCGCGAGTCCCATGGCCGTCAGAGCGTTGCCACGGGTTACCATGGCAACGCTCAACACAGCACGCAGGCCTTGAGAGTTGGACATGGGAGCTGCTGGGAAGGTAAGTAAGAGTGTGCTGGGCCCCCTAGGGAATGTCATATCCCCCCTCCCTGGCCAGGTAAGAAGCAGGGAGAGGGGACTAATACAAAATGTAAAAAAATTAAGTATTAAATAAAAAATGCCACCCCCCCATTTTACACACACACAACACATTCACACTCTCTGCATTCACTAATCAAATACTCTCACTGCATCCGCTACACACACACATTCTTGAAAACATAAACAATTCTGACTGGCATGTATATTTTGTGCATTTATCTTAATATAAAAAATGTTTTATAAAAAATAAATATGTTCAGTTAACAGTAGATTTGTGCAGAAATGTTTTTTTTTTTTCTCAAAATGGTAAATGTACAGAGCATCAGTTGGTTATCGGCCTGAAAGTTCAGAGATTATCGGTATCGACTCTAAAAAAAAAATAAAAAAAAAAAAATCAGTATCGACCGATCGCTATCTCTTTTTTTTTTTAAGCAGGATAATGCACCCACCCACTCTGCAAAAATCTTTTTCTATTTTATTTTTTCCTCTCCCCTCTGAGAAATGTGAATAGTTGAACTTGATAAACCTTTTCTCAGCCTTAATTGCTGTGCAAGTATGTACCATTTCTAAACGCGAAAAAAGTAATATTTTTTGAAATTGACAGAACAGACTGATGTTTAAGCTAACCCTGCAACACCAACCTTATTTTCACGCTTTTATATTTCGTCATTTTGCATTGTTGCCGCTTGTACTTAGTATTATAAATATTTTTCAAGTTGTATAATTTTAATACACTGAGTTGCACCAACATTTCTCTGGAGGATTAGCTTCCACTTGTCCATTTATTTGGCTGTTCAAGATACCACTTTTATATGACTGTGACCACAAATAAACTAGAGGTGTTTAGCACCTACATATAAATGAGAGGTATAATGTGATGACTTTTTTTTTTTTTTTTTTTATACTGTGCAAAATTAATGATGGTGAAAGGGAAACTTTAGTTTAATGGATTTGTATGTGTTTATTTTATTAAAGCATTTTAGAGTTAATGCTTAAAAATTCAGATTAGAGGGAAGATGACTAACCTTTGAATGAGCCTCATCAGCTGCAAGTGAGGCAGTGCCTTCTCCATGGCACTGGGGGCTGTTTGCAGGAAGCAAATGTCTGGTAAGCATCTGTTAAAGGGTCACTATAGCCAACAGAAAAACTACAGCTTAACGTAGTTATGGGGTCTGTAGCCTGTCCCTGCAGGCTTTTTAATATAAACACTGCCTTTTGAGAGATAAGGCAGGCAGTGTTTACATAACTATCTAGTAACACCTCTAATGGCAGTCACTCAGACAGCCACCAGAGATATTTCCTGGGTGCAGCACTGACGTTCAACATCTGCACGCTCTGAAGACTCCCCATAGAGCAGAGCTTGACAGAAATTGTCAGTCCATTCCCTCCATCCTCGTGCAGCTTTCTGCGTGACAGATGGAAGGAAGCTGTAATTTCTTCCTCCCGGCACTGAGGCTGCACAGGGGAACGGCAAGCTGGCACGGCTCTAGGTAATGACGGCCATGTTCGCCACCCCCTTTCCACAGTGTCTGGCGGCTGCCAAGCCATTACCTTGTGTGACCTCTGTGCTGGGAGGAAATAATTACAATTACCTTCACATTCTCTGGGTGCACAGAAAGCTGCACAGGGATACAGTAGGAGGAGGAGGGTAGAGTCTGGACCAGCGGCAGCCCACTGACACCTGCTGCTGCCCAGGCCTACTGGACCTAAGGGAAGCCACCCTCCTGTGCCTAAAAGGTAGGAAACAAGAGGGTGGCTAAAAATATGTATATATTTTTTTATTTTTGTGTTTGTCTGTGACAATATGTGTATCTGTCGTGTATGTCTCTGTATTTGTATATGGGAGTCTAGCCAACTCCTTGGTTTTGCACCCCTCCCTGTCACAGGTGCCTCATCTCAGGGCCCTATTTAGCCTTGTACTGCAGAGAGCCCCAGGTGGAATTTTTTCCCCCAAGTAAGTGGGTTAATCTCATAAGAGCAGACATTAGGCTTAGTGTAGGACCTACCAAAGATGGGGTACATTGACGTTGTGGCAGGCTTATGCAATGTATGATCATATAACGTAACTAAAGCCCCATTATTTTTGCCTAGATTAGGTGTTTAAAAAAAAATAAAAATCTTTCAACATTGAAGTTGCTGTTTAGTGGATTGGTGAGTGCGCTGGATCTTGTGTATTGTATTATTTGGCCCCCAGCAGCACCCTCATTTATGCATGTTCAGGTGAGTGCAGCCAATGCCCTCTTGTTTTATAGATTTATATATATTTACATAGCTGAAAAGAGACTTGCGTCCATCAAGTTCAGCCTTCCTCACATTTGTTTTTTGCTGTTGATCCAAAAGAAGGCAAAAAACCCAGTTTGAAGCACAATTTTGCAACAAGCTAGGAAAAAAATTCCTTCTTGACCCCAGAATGGCAGTCAGATTTATCCTTGGATCAAGCAGTTATTACCTACATTGAAAGATTATATCCTTGAATATTCTGTTCTTGCAAGTATGCATCTAGTAGCCGTTTGAACATCTGTATGGACTCTGATAAAACCACTTCTTCAGGCAGAGAATTCCACATCATGATTGTTCTTACAGTAAAAAAACCTTTCCTTTGCCTTAGACGAAATCTTCTTTCTTCCAGTCTAAACGCATGGCCTCGTGTCCTATGTAAAGTCCGGTTTGTGAATAGATTTCCACACAATGGTTTGTATTGGCCCCGAATATATTTGTATAATGTTATCATATCCCCTCTCAGGCGACGTTTTTCTAAACTAAGTAGGTTTAAATTTGTTAACCTTTCTTCATAGCTGATATGTTCCATTCCTTTTATTAATTTTGTAGCCCGCCTCTGCACTTTTTCTAGTGCCATAATATCCTTCTTTAGAACAGGTGCCCAAAAGCACAGCATATTCAATATGTGGTCTTACCAGTGATTTATAAAGAGGCAAAATGATATTCTCGTCCTGAGAATGAATGCCCTTTTTCATGCATGACAATACCTTACTGGCCTTGGCCACTGCTGATTGACATTGCACATTGTTGCATAGTTTGTTGTCTATAACAATTCCCAAGTCCTTTTCGTGTGTTATCCCTAATTCGCTTCCATTAAGGGTATACGTTGCTTGTGTATTCTTTACGCCGAAGTGCATAACTTTGCATTTTTCAACATTAAATTTCATCTGCCATTTGAGTGCCCAGTCTATCTAAATCCCTCTGCAGCAAAGTAATATCTTGCTCACATTGTATTATTTTACAAAGTTTTGTGTCATCTGCAAACACTGAAACATAACTTTCAATGCTGTCTTCAAGATCATTTATAAACATGTTAAATAGAAGGGGTCCCAGAACAGACCCCTGAGGGACACCACTTTCCACCTCTGTCCAGCTTGAAAATTTACTGTTAATGACAACTCTTTTTGTACTCTGGTTTTAAGCCAATGTTCTACCCAAGAACAAGCATTTTCATCTAGACCGATTTCCTTGAGTTTGAACACTAATCTATTGCGTGGAACTGTATCAAATGCCTTGGCAAAATCCAAATAGATCACATCCACGGCAACACCCTGATTTCTACTTCTTCGTAGAACGCAATCAAGTTAGTTTGACATGACCTGTGCTTCATAAAACCATGCTGATTTTTGCTGATAACCATGTTCTTCTCAAGGAATTCTTGAATATTATCCTTTAATAACCTTTCAAATATTTTCCCACTCACAGAAGTTAAGCTCACAGGTCTATAATTTCCAGGCAAGGATTTTGAACCCTTTTTGAATATAGGAACCACATGCAATATATTGAAGGGGGGGTTGGTTACAGGACGGTAGCTGACTGCCATAGGTGGAAGCTATCCCTGCATGAGAGAATGTATCTCGTGCCTCACCTAATGCCTCTTTTCCCTTGTGAGATTAAGGAGTAGCGTAAAGCCTCTGTAGGGCCATATGCATCAACAGCTGGCCCCAGGGGGTGCCGACATCTCCACTTTCACCCGACACCAGGTAAAGCCCTCCAACCATGAGCTTCTCGGCATAGCGGAGACTTGAGGGACCCCTCAGTCTTAGACCCCCTTCTCCTAGAGTCCACCAACCGGACGGCCTCTACACCTCCACTGTCCTGGTAGAGTCTCGGTAGGTCAGACAGGATTTGTGTGTTGTGCCTCCGTGAGCCCCCTCTAACGCAGGCCACTCCTCCAAAGCATGGTCCACAAGGCCCTGAGGCCACCAGTCCGCCGCAGGCCCCCACAGTCCAGCCCGGCCATGCTCACAGCAACGGGGAGCAACACCCTGCAGGCCTCCGGATCACCTAGAGGTAGAGGTCACTGCTGTCTCACCCGAGACAGCCTGGTTCTCATGTTGCCATAACCTGTCGGCAATCCCTCTGAGGCAGCCTCGTCTGTTCCCTGGCAAGGCAATAAGGGAGCTTCCGCAGTGTGAGCGCTGCCTCCCATGCATACATAGAGTCGAAGCTGTATCCAAACGTCCAGCAAGTGAAGGCTGGGAACCATTAACTCGTAAGTGGAAACTTGCTGGATATATTATCTGCCGAATGCATGTACTGCGTTAATATCTGTACCTTTCTGAATCTGAACTCATTATCCACACAGTGTTTGCATGACAAGTTAGATTTAAAGGGATTCTATAGTGCCAGAAAAACACATCCTTTTTCCTGGCACTTTAAAATCCTACAGTACTCTCCTCCCTCGTGCACAACCCCCCCCCCCCCCCCCCCCCCAGCGGAGCTGAAGGGGTTAAATCCCTTGGCGCTAGGTCAGGCTCGGCCATGCTCCTTCCCTGCCGGCGGGGGAGACCTAATGCGCATGGGCGGCAATGGCCGTGCTCACATTAGGATGACCCCATAGGAAACCATTATTCAATGCTTTCCTATGGGGAAAAAAGCTGACGCTGGAGGTCCGTTTCAAACCGGGAGCCCCTCTAGTGGCTGTCTGGTGGACTAGCGGTGGAGTCAACCCTGGATATTATTGCAGTTTTTCAATAAGGGACATGGGACATTGCACACAGACAACTTCAGTGAGCTGAAGTGGTCTGGGTGCGAACAGTTTCCCTATAACTTGCAGAACCAGACCTTTGAATTATTGCTTAGTCAGAAATAACACATTGCAATTGCATGGCACATTAAACGTGCACAGTTGTTTTCTAAATAACTAATGCTAAAATAATCACCCCAGATGTTTGTGAGCAAGTGAATGTCAAAGAGAAATGTAGTTCGCAAACATTTGAGGTAAAAATGTTAGTCCTCCATACTTCTTATCGAACATTTAATTACCGGTACTACATCTTTTTTTGGCTGGGAAACTGTTTTTAAAGCAGGGGTGCTCAAAAGGTAGATCCCCAGATGTTTAAAAACTACAGCTTATATGATGCTTTGCCATGCTTTGTAATTCTAAATGCAGGCAAATCATCATGGGAGTTGTAGTGCTACAACATCTGGGGGATCTACCTTCTTGGCACCCTGGTTTAAAGGGCTAACCTCCATGACCACTTCTACATTTAGAAGTGGTCCAGGTGGTAGGAAGCTGTATGTGTAGCTTTTCTGATTCTAGGCTGCCTAACGTAAGTTCTGTGCACTGAAAGCGGACGTAAGAGTGCAAAGTGAAAATTAGAGTTTAAAAAAACAAAGACTAAAAGGACAGGACCACTGCACGCAGTCATTGAGACAAAGTGGCCCTGGAGACTTTAGTGGACATTTAAGTAACTAGCAATAAAAGCCAAAGGAAAAAAGTTACCTGCGCTCTTTCCCAAATCCCTATGCAAGTTTAAATAAATTGAGGTTATTTAGTAACTCCAATGGCCATGTCAAGGCAAACCTCTTAGCTGGGTCCACACTAACAATTCACCTGTCTACCTTCAGCTTCAGGCAAAGAAATCTCTGAGACAGAGAGGGGTATTTTCTAAACCCCCTACATACTTATTAACCCTTAATAGGGAATACATGGGATGGGCGGCAACATTGTAATGTGGCTGTGTGATACAAATACACAAACATAAGTCCTGCTCTCAGACTCCCACAGCTCCTGGGCATCAGCAATGACCATAGCCAAATACATTCAATAAAAACTAAAGAAAAAAGAATGTATCTGCACACTAGCCCAAAGTGAAACATTTACTAGCAATCTTTGTATGTTTATGCTATGCCAAACAATACCAAAGCGTTGCTTACTGTTTTATTCACACTAGCAAATGTCAGTGATTATCAATGATGGTGTGAGGTGATGATGCAATTCATTTATTTTTCTTGTTTTATTTTTATAAAATTTATTTTCAAGACATTTCCTTCAGAAACTGTTATGCCCTTACATGTTTTCTGTTTTGCTTTCATAGAATGTAACCTTTATATTTGGTCTCTTTTTTTTATTTTTATTTTTTATTTATTTTTATTTTTTATTTATTTTTTCTCAATAAAACCATGCAATGGCATTTCATGTTTATATTTATTGCAACCCTTTCTTTTCCTCTAGAGGTCAGTATAAGACCATATATTGCTCTTGAGTGTTTACAAATCAAAGTCTCTCTTGCTTTGACATTTTACTACAAGGCACCGGAGGCTCATATCATGCTCCCTCAGATGAACATTTGGACCATATAGGATTTCCCTCTTTGCCCCATCTGCTATTTCTTCTTGATATTGCCCTTGCCTCCCCCGCTTCCACCCCAAACTTTAGTTACTGTAAAATTTTGCTCCCCGTGATGCCTCTCCTTAATTTTGACCTGTATCTGCCACCTACCATTCTCTCCTTGATCATGATTGTTTTATTGTGTTAGCTACAGTTCAGAGAAAAACTGGTGAAGGCAATGTTAGGAAAGGTGTGTGTTTTTTTTTTTTTCTTCTTTTTTTTCTTCCTAATGTCCAAAAATCCAGTCTCCTGATTACTTATTAAACCTATGTTCTAATGTCTGTTTGCTAAAATTATGTATTATTTATAAAGCGCCAACAAATTCCACAGCGCTGTACAATGGTTGGACTAAGAGACACGTATTTGTAACCAGACGAGTTGGACACACAGGAAACGAGGGATTGAGGGCTCTGCTCCATGAGCTTACATGCTAGAGCAGGGGTTCTCAACCCAGTCCTCAGGACCCCCTACCAGTCCAGGATTTGGGGATTACCTGGGTGTGTCTCAGGTGTTTAGAAAAAGGGAAAAAAACACCTTAGACTCTAATGTGTTTTTTTTTCTTCCTTTTTCTAAACACCTTAGACACACCCAGGTAATCCCTAAACCCTGGACTGGTAGGGGGTCCTGAGGACTAACGTTGAGAACCCCTGTGCTAGAGGGAGTGGGGTATAGTGAGAAAGTGTTGGTAAAGGCACCCTAGTGTCAGGTTTGCACTTGTTTGTGTCCTTTTCCCAGTTGTAACAGACGTCAATCATTATTTCATGTGTGTTGCTTTATTTTTCTGCCACAGAAAAACCGTCTCCGATGGCTGCTATACAGTTCCTAATGATTTACATCTTAATGAATTGGTTTAGTCCAAAGACTCTGTCCCTTTTTTATGACCGTGTAAAATATTGCCATTTCAGAGAACAGGCAAGGTTGACATTATTCTGAAACTACGCTTCTATTGGCTGTAACACTGACGGCCGTTTGAACCTTTTCTCGACTGAATACCTTTAAGGTCTTCACACACAGGGTTATCATGCAGAGCATGATTAAAAATGCTGCCAATGATTCTCACAGAGCAGCGTTGGATTCTATGATTTTCTGTAAGAATGTCCGGATACCCAACTCTACCCAGTATAGTTTACTCATTTATTGTGACGCTGTCAGGGTTATTCACTAAATTGAGAATTCAAAGTGAATTCAAGAAGAATCTAAAATTTTAGGCCAAAGTAGCCGAACTGAAAGCAAAGATGATTAAGATAATTTTTCCAATTCAGCAACATTTGTGTCAGATTATCGGTTATTGACTTTGGTTTGACTTATCTCATCGCTCCAAAACTGACTTTGGGTTGCTTAAGCCTGTTGTTCATACAATGTACTCCAGGGCTCAAAAAATCCCAGGCACCAGGTTGCTGTGATGACTAGGATTTTTGCCCTGACACTTGGGATTTGTTTCCCTGTTCAGCCCCCGCGGTGGTCGGCTGACTGTGAGTGGATGCAGGTGGGTGTCCCAACAGTTTAAGAGTAGACGCATGGGTGGGTAGGCAGGCTGGCGGTTCATGGAGGGTTGAGGTAGGTGGATGGTTGGCGAGGGAGCGGTCGTCTCCCTGTCTGCTCCCTCGCGCGCCCTCAAGTGATGCAGGGAGCTGGAATATGACATCACTCCGACCAATGCATCACTAAACAGCGCTGTATGGAGCAGAGCAGGGAGATGACAACAGCCCCACTGAACCCAGGGAAAACTGAACGATTGCAGCTTCCCTAAAGGCTTGGTGGACATGTGAAAATAATAAATTGTGAATGTGTGAGAAAATGTCTGCGTGTATCAGTTGAGATGTGTGTGTCAGTTTAGGTGACCGCCCCCCTCCATTCACAAGAGAATGGGGTTTTTGCTCACCTCTTTTTCCCAATGCCATGCCGGTCTCTCCACATGTGGCCTGGTCACTATAGCTGAGATCATCTATCTTGATAATCTCGGCGAATCCGATGCTTAATTAATTCAATGCATCTATATGGGGAATGTTCAGCGCCTCAATGCAGAGCGTGGAGACGCTGAACGTAGGTGCTACGCACTGTGCAGCGCTAACACGGTACACCTCTAGAGGCCATCTGACTGTCAGTAGAGGTGTTACTAGACAGTAATGTAAAATCTGCCTTTTCTCTGCCAAGGCAGTGTTTACATTGAAAGGTGTACATTAATTTGGAGGGACACTATAGTCATAGTGTCCCTTTTTAAAATTGTAAAAACCTGGCTCCTAACTTTTTTTTTTTTTTTTTAAAGCTGGCTCCTAGATTTCAAGCAAATTTATCGAGCCCTGCTGTACTCCCTTGACATAAACCTTTTCTTTTTACTATTTTCTGTCTATATACTATATTAAATCTTGCCACATCTTAGGATCGGTAATGTGTACTGTCCTTTGAACTCTTTTGTATTGTGTTGGAACTCTGTAGTATCCTAACGAGGAAGAATTGGTTTAGCAGAGCTTTTCATTTGTAGCACGTGCACCATAGGTCCCTAATGCGAAACATTGGATTGTTTGTTTGGACTGAGATTATTATTATTATTATTATTATTATTATTATTATTATCATTTATGTAACGTCAACTTATTATCCAGCAGCGCTAAACTCCTTGATCTCAGAAGAGGCAGAACATGGACCTGTATCTAAACTGTAGAGTCACACACCTAAATATAGATTTGTATTTATTTTAAATCTAATCATTCCTTTTAATTTGAGAAATAATTATCAAGGTTGGAAAATGCATAAAATCTATTGTACATTGAAATGAGTTCTGATTTTGGACCCAATTTATCACTGATGTCTGTCCTTGTTCCACAACTGCTGGGGTACAAGCATTTTCCATTTTGGCCAGCTAAATGGCCTTAAAACTGTTGTGGATTTTAGTTGCCATTATACCATCCATTTTGCCTGGCTGAGCATCGTGGGAAACAAATTTCACAATAAGAGGTAGTGCCACAAGTTCACAATAATGTGCTTTACAGTTGTCAATCTGTATATTCACTTCTACATCACTAGATGGCAGTATAGAACATAATTTGATATAATCAAAATCTGGCTCCTCAAGGTGTATTATCATTCATTTGGAACCAAACAAGATGTTCAACAAGTACTCTGATTATTGGGCTGGGGGCCCACGGGCAATGTGAACCAGATGTGCTTCTTGAAAGTCTCTAGTTGAAGTAACAGACACTGTTCATTTCCATTCGTTATCCAGTAACAAACATCTTCCTTTTCACTAAACACGAACTATGAAGGTCAGGAACAACCCTAGACCTGTTTTTGCTGCATTGTGGTTAAATCAGGTAATCGTGTGTTTTTTAGGATGTGCTTGTGTTTTGGGTCATGGTGTTCTCTTATTTGCAGTAATGTATTTATATTGCGTACGTGGAAGGATAATTATAAACACACAACATGAAGCCACAGTATACACAAGCAGACGTATTATTGAGTCTCGGATGTTTGTATTTAACATCTACTAGTGCAACATGTTATTTGCACCCTGAAATTTGAGAATCAACTGTACGTGATATACCTCAGTAATGCTTTGTAATATTTTATTACAGGGTTTGACAAATTTGCTTTGCTAGAAAAGTTAGGAGCCAGAGAAATCAACACCACAAATATTCTTAAAGGGACACTATAGTCACCAGAACCACTACAGCTTAATGTAGTTCTGAAGTCTATATCCTGTCCCTGAATGCTTTTCAATGTAAACACTGACTTTTCAGACACAGGGCAGTGTTTACATTGCTGCCTGGTGATACATCTAGTAACAGTCACTGAGACTGCCTCTAGAGGTGCCTCCTGGGTCAGTGTGACACACTGTGCAGTATCTACGTTAATGTTCCATATAGGGATGCGTTGGTTCGATACATGTCTGAGAAGTTAAATTGGCGCAGTGGCATTTTGCCCTGCATGTGCAATTGTTTCCCCAATGCTTTCCTATGGGGAAGCATTGGATTGGCTGAGATAGTCAAGATTAATGATCTCAGCCATGGAGGTGGGGCCACGGCGTCACCAGCACGGCGTGGGAAAAATGCTAAGTAAGAACACCTTTCCATGTGATTGGAGAGAACACACGCACACACGCACACACACGCACACGCACACACACATGCACACACCCTCACAGACAGACATACTCACTCACAAATAATTACTTTTTTAATTTTAATGTAAATCCACCCAGTCTCCCTACCTTTTTGGAGAGCTGTAGTGCATAGGCTTTGCATGGGGTCTAGTAGGGCTGCTGTAATCTCATTGCTCTGCTCCCTCTTGTGCACTGTTTACTGAGCCGGGGGCCAAAGTGATGTCATAACCTGGCATCAGTGCAAGGCACGCGAGAGGGCAGAGCAGGGAGATTAAAGCTCACTCGCTGCTGCAATAAGTCAGCCGCCCACCTCCCTCAGCTCTCTATTTGCCAGCCAGACGCTCCCTCCATTCCTCAGTCAGCCGGCCACCTCCCTGAAGGCACCCAGCAGCCCCCTCCTTCCCCAGGTCAGCTGCCTGCCTCAGCCATCAGTCAGCCGCCTGCCTGCCTCTGCTCTGAGGCAGCCGGTTACCTCGGGGGCTGAAAAGGCTCAGAAATCCAGAGCGCCAGGACAAATGTAATGGTCTCCATGGCGAACTGGCGCCTGGGGTTTGTAGAGCCCTGTTTTGTGGGCTAATTCCCTATTTCTCATACTCCTTAGCTGGATGAGCAGAATTAAAGGGAAGGTGTGTGTGTGTGTGTGTGTGTTTTATTTTTTTATAATGTCTTTTATATTTTAGTTTTCAGCAATTTGTATTGTCAGTAGTAAGTACCATTATTCCATGAAAACAATAAGGTGTGTCGTCAAGAAGTATACATTTAGACCAGATTCTTGAGGCATATAGGTTTTTTGTTTGTTTTTATACATAGTTTGGAAGTGTTTAACAATTGTGGAAACATAAAATAGTTCAATATAGTCATATTACGCAGTAAATTGTAAAAATACCATGGTCTTCATCGATAACGTTGAGAATGGTTATAGCATGTTTTTCCTACCCTAATGTGGCGTGGTCACACTGAACTTGCCTTTCTCCTATGGATTTCTCTACTCTTCCTCTCAAAATCTGGTCTTTTCTTTATTTCTGATCTAGTTTTCTTTAAAACATAAGACACAGTAGGGGCTACTTTTGTCTTATTTGACACAGGAAATGGAGCTGACTTAAACTCCTCTATCAAAGAAAGTGTAAAAAAAAAATACACAAGACAAAGAATAGATTCTGAGAGAGGAAGAGATGAGGAAACAATAGGTGAAAGGTAAGTTTGGCGTGACATTGCTGCTTTAGGCATATTCTCATCCCATAATGTGACAGGCATGCATTATTCTGCAAGAATAATGTACTCAAGACAGAAAAATTTGATGAACCTTGGTTTGCAAAACATTGAAAGAGGATGGTGAGATATTCAAAGTGAGAACAGAGGGGGGAAAAGGTGTGGAGAGGAGTAGAGAAAAGGGTCCTTGTGGTGCTTCCCCTGGCCTTTTACATTAAGATGTATCAATGATGTGAATACAAGCACAGTTCACTATATGGGTCTTTATTTGAGTTACCTGTGTTGATTGTTTGTGCTCCATGCAAAGTGGCTGTCTTCTCCTGCACAGCTCTTATGTCACCCACTCTGTCCACCCATTGCTGGAACTTGGATTCTTTATTTCTCCAGAGAGTAGGGATGAGGGACTTTGTAGCATTTAAGAATTGCTTAACAAACATCTTATACATAGAAATAGGTAATGAACTGCTATGCAGTAACATGACATCACATTTAAACTCTAGAGAAGTTCCCAGCGTTGCTTCCATTACACCATGTATTCTTTAATAATGGGGCGTACTCAGCAAATGTGTAGTGTTGCGCTGGCCCATGCCTTCAGCTCAAGAAACGTCTGATTAAATATGTTTTATCTTATGGAGAATCAGGGGAGTCCTATACAAGCGGGTTAACAGACGTTCAGCTCTTCATAACAAAATAATAAGAGCGCTCATGTAATAAAAAAAATTATGGACCATTGGGACAATGGCCATCCTACTGATTGTAGCAAATAAAATAGCAGGGAGCCCCACTGGGGAGTTACTGTTCTTTATCACTTAGTGGGTTATTTACGAACTTACGAAGATCCCCATACAGAAAGGAGCAAAACCATCAGGTTGCATATGGGGAAATTAGGACTGCAAAATCCCTTTGTTGCAATATGTATGAATATCCAAGATTTGCAATACTGTTTTTGAGGCAACCTTATGTCCCTATTTCAGTCTGTCCGAAAGGTGGTGCTGGACGCCTGAAATCCAGGTCCAGCTACTTGAATGAGTATCTAAACTAACTTCAGACGGGCGCTATTTTATTGGAGTCACGCCACATGTTTTTCGTCAGTCTCCCCTACCATCCGCTTCATTTGATATCAAAGGAGTTCCCTCCCTACCTCCCATTTCTAAGTGTAAACCTTCTTTTGCTTTAACACAAAATAAGTAGGTTTATTTTTTTATTTGTGTTTGTTTTACATTCTGTTCTTACAGTGTACACTATTGTGGGTTTACTTCATATATCTATATATACGGAGAGAGATCCACATCACCTATATCCTAGAGCAGGGGTAGGCAACCTTCGGCGCTGCAGATGTTGTGGACTACATTTCCCATAATACTCTTGCACCCATAATGCTAGCAAAGCATCATGGGAGGTGTAGTCCAAAACATCTGGAGTGCCGAAGGTTGCCTATGCCTGTCCTAGAGTGGTGATCATACCACTTCACAAGATATCCTTGGAGCCATACACTATTTATATACACCTGCTACTTAGCTCTACATACTACACTATATACTTTTTTTTTTTTTTACCTCATTTGGCGGGGATTATTCCATCCATGCGTTCCAGTTGGAGCTGTGTTCATGTGCCCTAAAAGTGTTCATATCCAATGTTACTTACCCTTATTCCATCAAGAAGTTGTTAACTTGCTACACTATCAGTTATTTTTGTCTCTTCCTTTTTACGATTCCTTATGTCTACAAAAGGGCATTTATGTAGACATCTTATTCCTTACAAGAGAGACTCCGTATTTGGTGATAAGGCTGCCTTGTGGACTAGATCAGTATAATACAAGCCCTGAATTTTTTCTGTTTTTTACCTATCCAAACTATCCCGCGCATTGTTCGAAATAGCCCTCGGCAGTGGAAGGATTAAGTTATGTGGCAGCTAGCCAGCACTTGCCCAAAAAAAAAAATATATGGCGATCAATAAGACCCTACATTGTAGACAAACTACATGGAGGAAAAAATTCAGTATTAATTTGTTGCTTACTAGTGGAAGGAAAAACCTTGAAACAAAAAATTAATAGATATATTGATTTATATTTTTAATAGTGTAGAAGAATAGAGTCCTTGTTAAATAAAAATTAATAAGGGAAATGGAGAACAAAGTGCACTTTTTTTTTTTTTTTGGTGGAAAGATGCAGGGGAAAGGGGGCAACTATGCCAAGACATCAACATCGTTTCCACATTGGAATATCAACAAAGCTTACTATGTTAACTGTAGTATGGAAACCTAGCAACTAAATCTGATGGGATTTACGCTTTAAAAAAAAGAAATGATGGCCTAAAAGGATTTATAGCTGCAGAAATGGAAAAAGTTGATACAGTCAATGAAATATGAAATGCTGGACTTTGCGGACTGGAAAATAAGACTAGTAAATAACCTATTCATGTACAGTGAAAAGTTCAGAAAGCTTAACAAAACAAGTTGTACATTTTAAAATGGATCCATTTGAGATTACCTGAATGATGTCTGACTTTTTTATAATTCTGTAGAGCAGACATCTCACATTAAATATAACATTAAAGGAAACAGTCACTTTTTTTTTAAATTTATTTTTTTCCATTTAAATTTATATTAAAGATTTAGCAAATGACAACAGCAGAGTTCAAACAATAATACGCCAGGGCAAACATTGCAAATTAAGGAGAGAAACTGCAACATTTAATTTTATTTTTTTCCATTTCTGCTTGCTTTTCATTTATTGACTACCAGATAACCATGATTGACCAGAGCAAAAATGGGAGGCACTCAGATGCAGTCTCATATGTGTATTTAAGCATTCAAGTTCATTTTTCTTGTGAAATAAAGCAAAGGAGACGTATGTGCCGCTACACCAAATAAGGAGGGAAATGTTGATTAAAAACTACTGAAAATGTGTATACAAAATTTCACAAAAATAGAAGGAAACTAATTACTCACTCCTGCAGTAAATGGGCTCCAAGTTTTTGGTGCTGGCAGCAATGTTCCTCCAATTGTGAAAATTCTCACAAATGTCTTTAAATGTAAGGTTAAGTAAACATAAAAATTCTGAGATTTCATTGGGGTTCTACTGTTTATATTTCTCTGATTCAGTAGAATGGTCTAATCAAATTCTTTGATAGGACCACAAGGGCAATGGTGATGTTGAAGAACACGTGGAAATCGATATATAGAACAGTGATAGTTACAACTCTAAGCTGCATATATCTCAATTACTAAAATACTTATTACAGGAGCACAGTTTTTCTGATCTCCAGTGTAAAGTTGTTGTTTTTTTTTAAATTTATTTTTGTTTTGTTTTTTAGGTTTACTGAGTTCTTATATCTTAGGCCCATCTGGGTATTTTATAGGGAAAATGCATATTTCACATATTTTAGATTTTATATACATAAAAAGTTTAGGTTAGATATTTCATCTGCTCCATAGAACCCTCTATCTCCATAGTGCTATTTTAGATTTGTATTTTTCATGCGTGTGGTGTTATCCAATTTTTCTACAATTTTTTTTGTCACAGCTGCAATTAAAAGTGCAATTTGCCAATACTCCTAACATTAGTAAACTTCGTATTGCCTCTCACTTTGCATTACTGCTGCGCTGTGGATAAATCCGTGGAATTTATTAATCTTCTGGACTATGCTCCGATCTAGTTATTCCCGGTTGTAGAACGTCTTGCTTTTGTAAACGCGTAGAGCAGCATGAAACTATCTGTACCATATGCTGCCAGATGTTTTAGTTGTAATGTTGTCCAACATTTCCACAGTGGGCAATAGAACTTTGAAATATATTTTATGAAAGGTCACAACTTATTTGAAAGCTGTTGGATAGAAAATGTTGGTTTTAAGTCTTACTAAGGCAATCCTTCATGGGAGTTGTAGTCCATCTGCGGTTGAATGGCTATGGTTGAACTCACTATGTAGTTCAATCAAAGACTGGAGGATTCATACCAGACCATATGTTTTCATAACTTTCTTTTTTCTTTTTTTTTTCCTGTAGTTTACAAGGCAGTAAAATGTAAATTTTATTCTTATTTAGGATGCTTAACAATAGCCAAATACTGGCATCAGCCCTTTGACTTTGTAGCAGCTGGAGTTTAGACAACTATCTGTAGTGTTTTTTTTTTTTTTGTTTTTTTTAAACTATATCTGACTTTTGCACCTCACCCAAGGGAAATAGTGATTTTTGCTTTGGATTGATATTGGGATGGACTAACACCATTCAAAATCTGGATTTATGTGTATGCTTGATTGTAAATCATTTTCTTGCAGAATGGCTAAATATTTGTTTTACATATTTAGATTTTATATACATACAAAGTTTAGACTACATATTTAATCAGCTCTATACAACTTTCTCTTTCTCTCTAGTGTCATTTTAAAGGGACATTATAGTCACCAGAATCATCAGAACAGTTACAGCGTATTGCATTTGGTCATACCCTTCAGGCTTTCTGCAGTTAACGCTGTCTTTTCCATTACAACCTAGGGATACCTACAGTGGCCACTCCTTAAAATGCTACTGGAGGTGCTTCCTGTGGCAGTGCTGCTCAGTGTGCATCCTTGACATTCAGTATCTCCATCCTCTGCATGGATACACTGAACAGATAAGATTTTTACTGTATTTGGTGTGTGTGTGTGTGGGTGGGTGGGGCTGGGGGGGGTGGACAATTGGGGCTAGATAGTGTTTTTAACACTAGGGTCAGGAATACAATTGTGCTCCTCACCCTATAGTGTTCTTTTAACCCCTTAAGGACCACATTTCTGGAATAAAAGAGAATCATAACATGTCACACGTCATGTATCCCTAAGGGGTTAAATAATTTAGATTTTTATTTTTCCTGCATGCTTTGTTGAGGTCGGTCTCTGTCTCCATCTCCATGTCATTGAAATTTTGTCATTTGTATATTTTTATGGTAAGTGCTCACTTAGATTTGTGGATATGTAAATTCAAATAGTTTTCTTGCAAAACCGCAATGGTTTCATAAAACAAAAAGGGATATTTGACATAATTAGATTTTCTGTACATGAAAAGTTTAAATAGCATATTTTAAACTGCTCTACAATGTTCTCCGTCTCCATGCTTGAAATGAGAGGGGGGTATTGCACATAGAACACTCCATTGAGGTGAAGTGGTCTGGGTGCCTATATGTTCCTTAAAGCATGTTGTGCTGAATAATAATTCACTATACAAATAATTTTTCTGCTAGTTGTCACCACTCAGCGATATGTTGCAGCAATTCTCTATAACTTTACATTCCCTTGCCAAAATGTCAGCATGGTGTCAAAAGGCTTCATTTGTATGGCGTGCAGCTTTTGGGAAATTAGCCGGTTTATTTTCTTCCATCTTCTAGTTTTCTTAGAATTTTGAAACGGGTGCCTTTGACAGTTCCCTTCTGACATCTGCTGCAAGTAAAACAAAAAAATCTTGAATGCTTCGGTCTACGTCACTTTCCCTGAGGGTCCGAAGAACCAGATCATATTTGAGAACATTGTGTTCAAGACTTTTTTTGAAAATGCTTACAAATGTCTAAAGACCATGCTGATTTTTAACTTGCAGGAATAAGAAGTGTCACTCTTTATTCTTTAATAATTTCCTCTGATTAGATAATCGCTTTTTTGGGTACACCGTGTAAACAAAATTGCAGTTTGTGATACTGCAGTGTTACATTTTTTTCTCAACAGAATTATTAAAAAAATTCCCTAAAGAGTAAAATTTTTTTTTTTTTTTACACCTTAGTAGATTCGTTTCGTATAACCCAGTTTGTCTTATAGGGACAGCTCGACCAAAATAACATCATAACCGACCTGACCATAAATGCTTCTAGTGGTGTGTGTGTGGATGTATGTGTGTGTATGTATATATGTGTATATATATATATATATATATATATGTATGTATATATGTATGTATGTATGTATATATGTATATGTATATGTATATGTATATGTATATGTATATGTATATATATATGTATATATATGTATATGTATATGTATATATATGTATATGTATATGTATATATATATGTATATGTATGTATATATATATGTATGTATATATATATGTATGTATATATATATATGTATATGTGTGTGTGTATATGTATGTATATATATATATATATATATATATATATATATATATATATATATATATATCTCTATCGCGCTAGATGTAGTTGACATGGCTATTTCATTCCTGTACATCCATACTAGGCTTTATTTATTTATTTTTTGGTCTTTTTTTCAATTTGACCATTTTTATTGTTGGTACTTGTTCGGAAGTAACAGCAATGTACATTGTTAAAAGTCAAATAAAAAAAAAAATGCGTATGAATCAAATGCATTCAGAGGAACACAGGTGAAGTAAGTTTTTATACACAACTGTAAGTGCATTTGGTACATTAAAATATGCTTACATAAATTCGCAGGGACCAACTTTTAAATACCGTGAAGTAAGTATTAACAAGAATACACACAAGCTCATACAGGGCATGGATATACCATCGATTTCCAAACGCGTACCATTAACCTCCGCATTAGCAGGGTTTGTCATACCTATTTTATTACATCTTTTGTTTCTAGTCATACATCTGTCATGGGTAAGGCCTCTACACCTCCTACGCTAACTGGAACTCCTACATAGTCCGCTTCTGGGACACTATAAGAAGTTAGCCTGAGTGTGACTGTCGGTAATAAATTAGTAGCAGAATAACAGAGGAAATGAGAGATACATAGAGAATGTCTGCTATATACTAAGCGTCGTTGGGTCGATTTCTTTGGTCCAAATTGGGTCGAGGACATTGCCTAATATGTCTAATTCTGCTTGATTTGATTGACTAATCAGTGATATTCTGGTGTTAAAGTGACTTTTCACATCCTGGTGATCATTAGTTTGGCCGATATTAAAATATGATATAATATTGCCTTATGCGGTTTGAGGAGATTTTTTTTTTTTTTTTTTATATTTATTTTTCGTGCATAGATATAGATAACATTTAGTCTAGTAATGCCACAACAGCGATTACCATAGTTACAGTTGCATGGCATGAGAGACTGTGCACATTTTTAAGGTTAAAGACGAGTAACAGTAGTGTGTGGTGGATTAAACAGCACGTTTTTAGAAGAGGGGGGAAAAAAAAATAACATGGAAGTATCTGGCTATATAACATCAGCAGACTGTTTTAAACTTGCTAAGCTAGACAGTCTTATTAGTTTTGTTACGTTTAAAAATTATGTTAAGTATATGGCATTGCATTTCTGAGAAGGTCAAACATGTATACTTATGCCAGAATTATAACTGCGTAAATTCTTGTTTTAGTTGAGAACATTTTAAACACTTTAAAGTGAGGCAGGTTAAACAGTACATTTTGTTTTGAAAACATGAAAATATCTGGCTTTATAACATCAATAGATTTTATTTTTTTTTTAATCTTGCTAAGCGAAACAGGCTTATGATTAATTCAAATGTGTTGAAGGTTATGTAAAATACGTGGCATTGCGATTCTGAAAGGGTCAATCTGTTATACCTATGTCATAATTATAACTGCTTATATTCTTTCTTTTGTTAAGGGTCAAGATATGCCTGGCAGGTAAACAAAAAAAAGGGTGTGGGGGGCACCCAAATTGAGAGCATCTATAAACATTCTGCCTAAGGTTACCCACGTTGTGTGTCATACTGCAATACTATGCCGATAGTCATGTAAGTTTACTGGCTATATATTTACAACATGCAAATTGCTGATTTGGGTGTTAATATACACATGCTTGAGTACTCTGGTCTTGGAAGCCTCAATGGGTACAAGAGAGGGTGACCAGAGGCAGGCTGGCCAAACAAACACACGTTGGTACATATATGTTTAGACGTGTTCGGGCTATATATTTATGTGAGGTCTGATGCTTGTTGCCCTTAAAAGCGATCTAAACATAAAAGCAAGCTGAGTATGTCTGGTGGGTCTCGGGACTAAAAGCAGAAAATAAATAATTCCTCTTTCCTTTTTTTTATTTTAAGTAATTGTAAAAGTAAAAATAGTCTCCGTATTTCCGGCCTGAGTCTGTCCACCTAGCATAGTTGGGGCAGGGACACAGGGTTGCCCGGGAGCGGGAGGGTCTTTGTTGGTATTAGGGGTCCTTGGTCTGTGCTACCAGGTCTCCGGTGTCCCGTCCGGCTGTGCCAGTCCTTGTGTGCCAGTCCTTGTTCGAGGCAATTCAGCAGCTGTCAGTGGGTCGCAAGTTGTGCACTGTGTCCTTACCGAAGCCAGGCGGCGGATCCAAGACTCTGACAGGTGAGTATCTCTGTGCCTCTACGTCGTGATTGCTGAATATGCGTCCGGCGTGGAGCTTTGGAGGATGAATGGGGTGATCCGTTCAGGGTATGGGTGCGGTTAGGGGAGCTGTTATCCTTGGTGGCCAGTCTCGCCAGGTACAGCAATTCTTGAGGTAAGTCCAGGAGCCGGAGGAAGGCCGGGGTGTCCTGAATGTTATGCATGTTCGATCCTCGCTGGACCGTCAATGCCCTGGGGGACCGCCAGCGGTGATCAATCTTGCGGGCATGAAGCATTAAAGTAAGTGGCCGTAGCGACCTACGCCAGGCCAGGGTGCCGCTGGACAGGTCTGTGTAGAGTGAGAGGTCCATGTTTTCGAAGCGGAAGGGGGTCCTGCCTCAGAGGGCAGACAGGATCGCCACCTTATGTCCGCTATTGCAGAGGGTCAGAATGACATCTCTCGTGGCCGTGGTTTGTGCGTTTGTTGGTTTAGGGACTCTGAGCACCCTTTCTGGGGTGATTGTTGAATTCTGTCTTCGTTGCAGTATTTCTAGTAACATCTGATGGAACCGAATCATTGACCCCTGCAGTCACTTATGAGCCTGACCAGCCAAGATTATTTGCTCTGACCATTCGTTTTCGTTAGCATTGTTTTATTTTCGTTTGTTCACATGTTGCTGCTTTTACTGTTCTAGGAACGCAACCTATTGTCTGGGAAGCTTTTGATGATGAACTAACTGTCTTGATAAGCTTTTCTAGCTTGATCTACCCTATTACACTCTCATGAAACATACATGTTCCTTCCTACTCTCCAAACTTACTTAGACTCCCTTATCTGAAATAATTGCATCCACTTTTACCCCAGAGATGCCAATCTCGTTGTTATAGCTTGTCACAGTTTGCATGCAATAAGATACTACCTAAAAGTATACAAATAAAAAACAAACTCAAGTAAAGATGGTGCTGGAAACAGACCAAAGAAATTATAGTGAGAAGCTGCACCTTCCACAGTGTACAAGCTCAATAACACTAACCGAAATGTAAACCACAAACAAGGTGCACACCTTATGTTGTTAACAATACTATACTTCCTACCTTGACACCTGACTGGTCCTGTAAGCCTAGTTTATCTTCTCTTGTACATGTCTACTTTAGATCACTTATACACATTTGTATACAAAATGAAAATGGTGCACACAAGCTCAGCAAGGTGAGAAACAGGCTCTAACACTTAAGTGAAGGAATCCCTTAACCTCCACAACACAAATCATGCAGATAAAACAAAATATAAGTGGAGCTCTGGATTACCTGTATGAACAGTAATATAAAGATATTGAAGACAAATATTGTCAAAAAATCTGTAAATAAATAGTAACAGATCTAAGTGTAGACAATAATTACAAATGAATAGGATAAGAAAAAACTATGAGATGGGTAACTCACAAAGGTGGAGCCAAAAGAACACTTTGGCTCTAGTGGTAAGCGCCTTAGGATCTTCTAGGGGAGATCCACCACCCTCTTTATATTCCTCCTGATGTCTTCCTCCTTACATATGAGTAGGAATGGAATTGCAGACTCCACAGGACGGTGTAAACAAATATTTAATGAGTAAAAGCTTGAACTTTAAAATGTAATATAAAATAAAATAAAAATGAATCAAAATACTCAGAATGATTCCAAAGTACTCCCAAAACGCGTTTCGCCAGTTAAACTGGCTTCCTCAGTTGGTATGAGGACTGAGGAATGAGGACTGACGGCGGTATGAGGACTGACGGCGGACTTGGTCACCTATCGCCGTTACATAGATGACATATTTTTTATTTGGAAGGGAGATGATCTGAAATTGACCAATTTTTTAAGTTTTTTAAATTGCAACAATTGGGGAATTAATCTCACCTCTACTCAAAGCAAGGTGGGGATTAATTTTTTAGATCTTACTGTTTTTATAGAAGGAGGAAATATTTGCTCAAAAATTTTTTTTAAAGAAGTAGATTGCAATGGATATATTAATCTTACCAGTTGTCACCATACCCCGTGGCTCACGAATGCACCTAAGGGCCAGTTTATGAGGCTAAAAAGAAATTGTACAAAAGAGGAAGACTTCTCACAACAAACTCAAATTATTAAAAATCAATTCTTAGAAAAAGGATATGAAGAAGAAGACCTCCAAAAGAGTATAGAAGAAATAAAAATATTAGAACGGAAGGAATTATTAATATATAAAAAGAAAAAAGCGAGAATAGAGAATAATAAAGACTATATCCCCTTCATTTGCAATTTTTCAGCCAATAATAAGAAAGTAAGGCATGCCATCAATAAATACTGGCACTTATTACAAGATGACCCAATTTTAAAAGAAATATTACCGGAGAGACCTAAAATTGTCCATAGAGGATGTAAAAATATAAAAAATTTCTTAGTAAACAGCAATTTAAAGAATCATCAGGCTGAAAATGAGAACTTCCTAACAAAGAATAAAGGATTTTATGGGTGTGGAACATGCTTAGCATGCAGGGAGACCATAAGCAAAAAAAGACACATAAAGAATATAATAGAAATTACTAATAAGGAATTCACAATAAGAGACCAATTGACATGTTTCTCGAAAAATATTATTTATCTATTAATTTGTCCGTGCAATAAAATGTATATAGGGAGGACTATTAGATGCCTCCATGTTAGAATTTCGGAGCATGTGAGAAACATCAAAAAAGGAGTCGATACACATAGTGTTTCCCAACATTTTAAACAATACCATCATCAAAATCCACAAGGTCTTGTGTTTTGTGCACTTAAATTGGTCAAGAAAAATTGGAGGGGTGGAGATTTTATAAAGAAAATTGGAATGGAAGAAATGTCCTTTATCTTTAATTTTAATACCATGGTTCCTCATGGACTAAATTTGGATTTCGAATTATGTCATTTTCTATAGTATAAAGAAATAATTTAATGTTTTACAGTTAATGACATTTAATACTGTTTCTTCTCACCCCTCCACCTTTTTTATGCATCCACCTTTTTTATGCAAGCATCTTTAATTAATAATTTTGCAAATGATAGAGGTAATAATATTATAAAAGATGTTGCCTCTTTATGTTATATTATTATCTATTAGCCTCTCTCTCCTATTCCCTATTGCTTTTTATGGACTGGCGATTTAAAGACTTTTTTTACAATCTATAAAGACTATGAAACGCATATGGTGCGTTCCACGGCAGAATGCGGAAGTAAATTGACCTGATCGCACTGATTAAGACTGTGGAACGCATGTGCGTTCCAATGAAGAAAAAGGAAGTGGAACAGTATAACTCTATGACGGAGGCACGCGCGCACGCACGGAATTGACGCACGCATGTACGTACGTACGTACGTGCGTTCCAACTAGTGCGGCGTGCGTTCCACGGAACCAACTTCCGGTCCGACAGATGCCGGCAATTTCATCATTTGGACTTATATAAAAGAACAAGAGGATATACTACAGACATACCAACTGAGGAAGCCAGTTTAACTGGCGAAACGCGTTTTGGGAGTACTTTGGAATCATTCTGAGTATTTTGATTCATTTTTATTTTATTTTATATTACATTTTAAAGTTCAAGCTTTTACTCATTAAATATTTGTTTACACCGTCCTGTGGAGTCTGCAATTCCATTCCTACTCATATGTAAGGAGGAAGACATCAGGAGGAATATAAAGAGGGTGGTGGATCTCCCCTAGAAGATCCTAAGGCGCTTACCACTAGAGCCAAAGTGTTCTTTTGGCTCCACCTTTGTGAGTTACCCATCTCATAGTTTTTTCTTATCCTATTCATTTGTAATTATTGTCTACACTTAGATCTGTTACTATTTATTTACAGATTTTTTGACAATATTTGTCTTCAATATCTTTATATTACTGTTCATACAGGTAATCCAGAGCTCCACTTATATTTTGTTTTATCTGCATGATTTGTGTTGTGGAGGTTAAGGGATTCCTTCACTTAAGTGTTAGAGCCTGTTTCTCACCTTGCTGAGATTGTGTGCACCATTTTCATTTTGTATACATTGTATTTGTTTTTTCCCTTGGTACACATAGTTCAGTGAAATATGTCTTTTTTAGACAAAAGAGACTACATGATAGAAAATATTGATACAGTTTTTTCTGACAATACAGAAAGTACAATAGAAGACCCTTATACTAATAAGGATGTATATAGATATAAACTTGAAAAAACACTCACTAGAGAAATGAAATCAAAGTGGGAAATTGCTACTTTAAAAAAGTATGTAAAGGATAAAATTACACCGAGGGGGCTAAGATTTTCCAAGGATCCCTCCTTTGATCGTGATGATCAATTTTTTATGGAGGGATGGAATAAATTATTAGATGGATTTTCTTTTAGCCTTATAGGGTATATAGTAGCAAGACGAGAAGAAAATCTCATAAAATTAGATGAGGATATAAAGAAATTTAGAGAAGGTTTAAGTGAAACCACTAGTCCTGAAACATTTAATGAGATAATATTAGAAATGAAAAAGAGAATTGACAAAACAGAAAGAGAAGTTATAGAAACCAAGAAACATAAATACCTAAGGGACCTGGAGGATTATAAAACAGGGAATGTAAGAAGTAACAATCGAAAATTGACCAATTGGAAAAAACCTAACCAACATAATAGAGGGAGGACACTTAGTTATCAAAGAAAACAGAGAAGAGGACGATCTCCTAGTCAATGGAGACATCATCAGACCAATGCCTACAGATATAGAGGTGCAGAGGATAGAGGTTCACAGAGGTACCAATACCAAACAAACAATAATCATAAATATTATCAACATAGGGAAATCGGTGGAAGGAGAAACCATATATCGAACAAAAGACCCTATACAACTAAAGAAGATCAAAAGCAAGAAAGTAGAGTTGAAAACTACCATGTTGCGACTTCTACACATAAGCCTAATTTAATCAGACAAGAAGGAAGAAAGGAGAACAACATTAGAAGTTATAGTAGAGTAGTTGCAAGTCCGTTGAGAAATATGCAGAATAGGAATCTCCCACAGAATAAAAATGGGTTCCGCATGGATAGACGTAAACCGTCTATAGATAGAGATCACAGCACATCAACTTATAATCGCTTTCAGATATTGGAACATAGGAACACCTCTCCCATTTCTTCTCCTTTTCACAAAAGTCCAACCAAATCCAGATGCAAACAACTTCAAGAGTCACGGAAATGGGACTCTCCGGGCAAAAGGAGAAGATCATGGGAAGAAGGAGAGTTAGAAGACGAAAGAAACTACAACAGAGAGAAACGAGGACGGATATAGACAACAAGGGAATATTCAATCTTTCGGATAAAGAATTGGATCAGGATGAATTAAAGATTTTGCAAAAAGGGTTAAAGTTTGCTCCATCTGCAGACTTTAAACCGTTTGAATTTTTCATAGACCTTAATCGCTTTACTCGACAATTATGTTTAAAAAAAAATTTTTTTCATAATAGAGACCCAGTAGAAATTAACACCACCTCCCCATATATCCATAGCAATTTAAAAGAAAAATCGAAATTTTTCCCAAGAAACATGATCTCGAATGAAATCAAAACCTTTGAAACCATGATCATGAAAGAGGTTAAAAAAATTAAACATACAAACAAATATCAAAAAAATCTTACATTAGCAGAGACAAAAACACTAAAGAGGTTACAAAAAGATGACAATTTAATTATAAAACCTGCTGATAAGGGGGGAGGGGTAGTCATTCTATCCAAAGAAAAATATGTAGGGGAAGCGGAAAGATTATTGTCAGACACTAAAACATATAAAAAACTAATATCCAATCCGAGTCAGGAAATCGTCATGAAGTTTAAAGATTTTATCGATAAAGGATTAGAAAAAGATATTCTAACAGAGGCAGAAGCCAAATATCTGATTATCTCCAGTCCCCAGATTCCTGTGTTTTATTGTTTGCCGAAGATGCACAAACATTTAACCAACCCACCAGGAAGACCTATAATCTCTGGGGTAGAAAGCATCTCATCAAGAATCTCAGAATATATAGATGTTCTACTTCAACCGGTAGTAATCAAAAATCCGACGTACCTAAAAGACACAATACACATTTTACAGATTCTAGGAGAGATTAAATGGGAAGAGAATTACACATTGGTCACGTGTGATGTAAGCTCGCTCTATAGCATAATCCCACATACAAAAGGAATAGAGGCTGTGCAATACTTCTTAGAGAAATCTAATTTTAAACAAGATCAAATAGATTTTATTAAGGAAGGCATATCTCTAATTTTGACCAATAATTTTTTTTGGTTCAAAGAGAGTTTTTATCTTCAAGTTAATGGAACGGCGATGGGGACCAAGTTCGCACCCAGCTACGCAAACCTTTTTATGGCGTATTGGGAAGAGATATTTATCTTACATAGTGAATTCTCTGCGGACTTGGTCACCTATCGCCGTTACATAGATGACATATTTTTTATTTGGAAGGGAGATGATCTGAAATTGACCAATTTTTTAAGTTTTTTAAATTGCAACAATTGGGGAATTAATCTCACCTCTACTCAAAGCAAGGTGGGGATTAATTTTTTAGATCTTACTGTTTTTATAGAAGGAGGAAATATTTGCACAAAAATTTTTTTTAAAGAAGTAGATTGCAATGGATATATTAATCTTACCAGTTGTCACCATACCCCGTGGCTCACGAATGCACCTAAGGGCCAGTTTATGAGGCTAAAAAGAAATTGTACAAAAGAGGAAGACTTCTTACAACAAACTCAAATTATTAAAAATCAATTCTTAGAAAAAGGATATGAAGAAGAAGACCTCCAAAAGAGTATAGAAGAAATAAAAATATTAGAACGGAAGGAATTATTAATATATAAAAAGAAAAAAGCGAGAATAGAGAATAATAAAGACTATATCCCCTTCATTTGCAATTTTTCAGCCAATAATAAGAAAGTAAGGCATGCCATCAATAAATACTGGCACTTATTACAAGATGACCCAATTTTAAAAGAAATATTACCGGAGAGACCTAAAATTGTCCATAGAGGATGTAAAAATATAAAAAATTTCTTAGTAAACAGCAATTTAAAGAATCATCAGGCTGAAAATGAGAACTTCCTAACAAAGAATAAAGGATTTTATGGGTGTGGAACATGCTTAGCATGCAGGGAGACCATAAGCAAAAAAAGACACATAAAGAATATAATAGAAATTACTAATAAGGAATTCACAATAAGAGACCAATTGACATGTTTCTCGAAAAATATTATTTATCTATTAATTTGTCCGTGCAATAAAATGTATATAGGGAGGACTATTAGATGCCTCCATGTTAGAATTTCGGAGCATGTGAGAAACATCAAAAAAGGAGTCGATACACATAGTGTTTCCCAACATTTTAAACAATACCATCATCAAAATCCACAAGGTCTTGTGTTTTGTGCACTTAAATTGGTCAAGAAAAATTGGAGGGGTGGAGATTTTATAAAGAAAATTGGAATGGAAGAAATGTCCTTTATCTTTAATTTTAATACCATGGTTCCTCATGGACTAAATTTGGATTTCGAATTATGTCATTTTCTATAGTATAAAGAAATAATTTAATGTTTTACAGTTAATGACATTTAATACTGTTTCTTCTCACCCCTCCACCTTTTTTATGCATCCACCTTTTTTATGCAAGCATCTTTAATTAATAATTTTGCAAATGATAGAGGTAATAATATTATAAAAGATGTTGCCTCTTTATGTTATATTATTATCTATTAGCCTCTCTCTCCTATTCCCTATTGCTTTTTATGGACTGGCGATTTAAAGACTTTTTTTACAATCTATAAAGACTATGAAACGCATATGGTGCGTTCCACGGCAGAATGCGGAAGTAAATTGACCTGATCGCACTGATTAAGACTGTGGAACGCATGTGCGTTCCAATGAAGAAAAAGGAAGTGGAACAGTATAACTCTATGACGGAGGCACGCGCGCACGCACGGAATTGACGCACGCATGTACGTACGTACGTACGTGCGTTCCAACTAGTGCGGCGTGCGTTCCACGGAACCAACTTCCGGTCCGACAGATGCCGGCAATTTCATCATTTGGACTTATATAAAAGAACAAGAGGATATACTACAGACATACCAACTGAGGAAGCCAGTTTAACTGGCGAAACGCGTTTTGGGAGTACTTTGGAATACTTTGGAATCATTCTGAGTATTTTGATTCATTTTTATTTTATTTTATATTACATTTTAAAGTTCAAGCTTTTACTCATTAAATATTTGTTTACACCGTCCTGCGGAGTCTGCAATTCCATTCCTACTCATATGTAAGGAGGAAGACATCAGGAGGAATATAAAGAGGGTGGTGGATCTCCCCTAGAAGATCCTAAGGCGCTTACCACTAGAGCCAAAGTGTTCTTTTGGCTCCACCTTTGTGAGTTACCCATCTCATAGTTTTTTCTTATCCTATTCATTTGTAATTATTGTCTACACTTAGATCTGTTACTATTTATTTACAGATTTTTTGACAATATTTGTCTTCAATATCTTTATATTACTGTTCATACAGGTAATCCAGAGCTCCACTTATATTTTGTTTTATCTGCACTTATACACATTTGCCTAGCCTGATTTATCTACAAAAAATGTGCCTTTATTCTGAATTCCATGCCACTGTTCTGTTATGTCTGTGATTAAATAGCTTGTAATCGCTGTCAGGCATCACAAGCGTGTTGTGCACCTTTGCACATCAAAAATAAAGTTTGACAAAAGAATTAGGGAGGCCAACGTTCTCTTGGGTACTTTCTATGCAGACAAACTTTTTTTTTTTTGGGTAGCCTTTTTAGATCTGTGCTGTTATCTGTCTATTCTTTGTCCTCATGACTTGATTTACATATTCTGATAAGCATTTTCATGTGTTTGTCTTTCTTTGTCTTTCCGAATCATATCCAATCAGTTGAATTTTTCACTTGTAGATTTCAATCGAGATTTAGAAAAATCTCGAAGATGTTCCACAGAAATGGAATGCATTAGAGCTAAATTTCATATGTCAAAGAAAAGGGTCTGAATACTTATGCCAATTTTATATTTCAGTTTTTTTTTTTAAATAAATTTACAAAGGTTTTCAAGAATCTGTTTTTTGCATTGCTATTATGGTGTATTGAGCATATATTAATGTGAACAAAAACGATCAATTTAAGCTGCGACATACACAATGTGAAATGAATAGTTTCCCAATGATTGGACTCTCCCTGCAGCACAAATACTCTCCCTTCTCTCTCAGATTTGGTATTAATGTATGTACACATTAATTTGAAAATACAATTAAAATTTAAATATTTATATAAATACATGTAATTCCCTGTGCATATTCTTGTATTTCATTTACTTATGTGATTGTATTGATTATATATTGGGGGACCTGCCTGAGTACCGAGTTCAGAGATTTTAATTTGCAAGCCCTATCTTTGACCTTGTAACTTCCCAAAACCCCAGAAAATGCAAATGAGACCTTGGGAAATAACTCATTTCTTAAATTCTCACTTTTTTCCCCCTTAGACTTTATTAATTTTAAAAAATAAAAACACTATAGGCACTAAAATAACTTTATCTTAATGACACACTTTTGGTGTACAGATCCTGCCAGTCTCATTTTCATTATCTGCCATTCAGAAGTTAAATCATTTTGTTTATTCAGTCCTAGGCTGCACACAACCTTCTTAAACACTTCCTGTAAAGAGACATCATGTAATGTTTAAACTTTTACTGCACATTATGTTTAATTCAGAATTTCTTCTCTCCAGCTCTGTTAATAAACTGCTACAGCCTGCAGATCTCTAGAGCAAGTTAACATCTGATTAAAAATGAAAAAAATGTTTTTTCATGTAGGCTGTGTGCCACTGCCATGGAAGGTGTGGCTAGGGCTGCATGGACAGAAGTAAAAGTGATTTAACATTTATATGGCAGAGAATTGAGCACAGCAGGGGCATGATCTAGACCCCAAAACGGCTTAATTTAGCGAAAGTTGTTTTGAGAGCGAGAGAGAGAGAGAGAGAGTGTGTGTGTGTGTGTGTATTGATGTGAAATGAAAGCCCTATTTCTCCTGAACAAAATATCTAATTAGTGTAATGGTGCACTTAATTATGGTTAAACAGACCTATGTTGCTCAAATCCAGATTTTGTTTTGGTTCAGAACTTGTACAATTGCCTTCGTCTTTAAATGGTTAACAAGTCTAATCTAATCTCTTTAGGTCTTACTATATCTTTCCACACTGAAACATGCGTAATTGAGACTTTTTGTTCTAAAATCAGCAATTAAATTACGACCTTTTCAGTGGATGCTGGTATATTGCCATCTTCTGGATTTCTTGGTCAGTTCTGCTGTTTTCCCATTCTTTTACCTATGCTGTGCCGTTTGACTGTCCTCAAGTAGTTTTCTCTTGCTCTCAGAGTATGTTTGTTTAGGTTGTACATTTCAATGTTTGGTTCTAGATAAATATCAAGGCATGCAATTAATTCTTTTCGTGACTCTTCTAAATAAGATATGGTCCATTAATTTGTAAAAGTCAACAGAGCAGTTAAATGATAATGCATTTTTTTCAGTGACCCGTTTAATCACTTTAAGGCTACTTATAGGCACAGTTATGGTCCTTGTACATAATAACAACTGCATTCTGTTAATTACATAATGAATTGTCGGCCTAGGTGATTTCCTTCACCTTTACATTGTATGGTAATCCCTACATATAATTTTCTATAGTGTATTTAATTGGACCAAATGGGCCTATCCCGTTTCAGCCGAAAACTGGTCAAATTTCCGCAAGTTTAAAAACACACAAACAAATTTTTTGTAGTGCATGGTTTAACAGACATGCTTGCATTAACAATTCAGATGGTTTATATATCACAATGAAAGATAGTAATGATAATATGGGGAGAACATTGGGGGACGGGGAGAGAGAGAGAGCACACACAGGGGGACGGGGAGAGAGAGAGAGAGAGAGCACACACTGGGGGACGGGAGAGAGAGAGAACACACACTGGGGACGGGAGAGAGAGTGAGAACACACACTGGGGACGGGAGAGAGAGTGAGAACACACACTGGGGAGCACACACTGGGGAGAGAGAGAGAGAGAACACACACTGGGGACGGGAGAGAGAGTGAGAACACACACTGGGACGGGAGAGAGAGAGAGAGAACACACACTGGGGACGGGGAGAGAGAGAGAGAACACACACTGGGGACGGGGAGAGAGAGCAGCACACTGGGGAGGGAGAGAGAGAGAGAGAACACACACTGGGGAGGGAGAGAGAGAGAGAGAGAGAGAGAGAACACACTGGGGACGGGAGAGAGAGTGAGAACACACACTGGGGACGGGAGAGAGAGAGAGAGAACACACACTGGGGACGGGGGAGAGAGAGTGAGAACACACACTGGGGACGGGAGAGAGAGTGAGAACACACACTGGGGACGGGAGAGAGAGAGAGAACACACACTGGGGGACGGGGAGAGAGAGAGAGAGAACACACACTGGGACGGGGGAGAGAGAGAGAGAGAACACACACTGGGGACGGGAGAGAGAGAGAGAGAGAGAAACACACTGGGGACGGGAGAGAGAGAGAGAGAGAGAACACACTGGGGGACGGGGAGAGAGAGAGAGAGAGAACACACTGGGGGACGGCGAGAGAGAGAGAGAGAGAGAGAACACACTGGGGGACGGCGAGAGAGAGAGAACACACTGGGGGACGGGGGGGAGAGAGAGAGACTGGGAGAGAAGATTTAGGGGGGGGCCCTAAAAGAGAAGGGAGAAGGGAATTTTTTTCATAGTAGATTAATTAGATTAATTAAAGTATAATAAATGTATAGGAAAAAAACTTTTTTTTTTTTTTTTAAAAATTAATTTGGGGAAAGTCATTTTCTGCCAAGGGCATCCTGAATTTTCGATTTCGGCCCAGAATTTTCATTTCGCTGCATCCCTTCTTGAAAGGTGCCATTGTGACTATATAAACAATGTTATTCGGTTCACCTGGTTTTAATGTTCATCAGTGTATAATTGTTGCAAGAAATAGAGTACTTGTGGTATTTAGAAATTATTTCAAATGTTACTTTAATCAAATAAGTAAGGCAACAAAAAAAGTGTATCTGTCACCAAGTCAGACTTACTTGTTTGTTGCCATGTGCTTTATGTGATTAAAGCAACATTTTAAATAATTTTGAAGTTCCATGAGTGCTTTCTTGTATGTATGTATGTATGTATGTATGTGTACATTGACAATCAAAGGCTTTCTAAATATTAGACATGCATTTTGACACAACTAGAAATATGGCAACCACTGTTTCTGACTTCCACAGAGAGATTAAATTGGCTTTTTGATGTTGTTTTCCTAGAACATCTGATAATGGATACTAGCATTTTAAAGGGACACTAGATGCACCAGAACCACTACATCATAAAGGAACACAGCTCACTTTGAGACAGTTGGCTCATTCAAAAGCTTTACCTTTGAATTAAACCATTGCTTCCCCTTCTCTCTACTTCTGTTGCACAGTGATGCATTGTTTGTCATTAGTGGACTTGTCTGTAACTGAGAAGGCTCGGAGAGGGAGGAGGAGGTTGAAGAAAGTCTCCTAGCTGAGAGGCGAGACAAGTATTGCAATCTGATCAAGTTCATAGTGCGTTTTATAAACGTTTATTAGATAGTTTTCAAAAATGTTTTTGTTTAACGTATTTGCTTGGTCTTTTAAAAAATAATTGTCAAGTAATGCATATCCATTTAATGTAGTGGTTCTGGGGCAAAGAGACTATGCTATGAGGACTGTCTGGGCATTGCATCCGATAAACACCTCAAGTGGCTGTCCCTCTCACAGCTATTAGTGGTGTGGTTTTTTTTTTTTTGTCGCTTTGCAGGACTGATTTATAGCGTCTCCACACTCCGCTAGGAGATGCCGGACGTTCCTCAATAGAAAATCTGGATCTGCCAAAGAATATTGGCCTTTTCTGTGTAATCCCTCTTTACTTCTTTTAGTGTAAATGCACTTCACCCAGAACAATTTGTAAAGTCACTAAAGCAGATCCTGAGCAAACTTGGGAAATTGAACGTTTAAAATATCCAGCCAAGCCTTGACATTGTCAGTCTTTGATCAGTTTGTTTTGTAAATAGGTTAACGTGAACTATAGATGGTTACTGTTCAAATTTTTTTTTTTTTTGATGTGCTCTTTCTTGACTCATCTCTTCTCTGTGCTCTCACCTCCTGCATATACTTTCATCATGTTTATCGTTTCTGTGCTGTTTGCGCTACTTTTCTCCTATAATCTTTTTCTCCCTCTGTTGTTTTTCCTCATTCTCTGTGCGTCATCTCTTTTTCTGTATCTTCTCACCTCTGGGCTTATTTTCTTAGTGTGTACTTTAATGATTTAATCTCTGTCTAAAGGACAGATTGAAATTGCCCCTCCAGCTTAAAGAACATCCTTCTGATATATTTCTGGCCAATTCCAATGACGATGTACATCTGTACAAATTCACCATTCCTTCATAAACGCACGGTTGATGCTACAAATACCTCATTCTGTTGTGACACCCTTTCATCCTCAACCCAAAAGACTAATAATATGTATTCTATAGCCATTATAGTGGCACAGAACTGCCACCAAGCAAAACAGAATGTTGCATAAAAGTGTTTTGAAGGGGGGGAGGAAAAGTGAAACAGTCCATCTATTTTGAGTTGGGTTTCTTCTTGTGCTCCTGGTATTGTCGGATAGGGTAAGTGTTTCTGAACACAGTATGTAAGACCTAAGTTTGCTGTTCTCTTTATTGGAGAGTTTACCTTTTAAATGGTTAAAAACAAACAAAAAAAAACACTTTAAGGTTATATTCCAGGAAACATTGCTAATAATTTGTTTTCTGGGGTATTAAATTTCAGTATTGTGATGAGAGATAGATTTGATGGAAAAACGAACATATTCTTTATGGTGTATTTTAATTTAATTTTATTGTTTTGTAGATTTGAAGTTGCACCTCCAGAGTACAGACTACGGGACCTTTTTGGCCAATGAAGCCTCGCCCCTGGCAGTTTCTGTTATTGATGACAAGCTGAAGGAGAAAATGGTGGTGGAGTTCATGCACATGAGGAACCAGTCGTATGAACCACTTGCAAGCTTTTTGGACTTTATCACGTACGTTAAAACCGTAACAGATTTCCTTTATCAGACACATTAGCAGCACATGTTATGTTAAAAAGAGCCTTGGTGTTTGGCTTTTCTCTGCACCATTTGAAGTTTGAGAAGTTCTTTTGAAAAGTTTGAGTTTGCTGTACTTTGTTTTTAGTATTTACCATGCTAATTTATTGTAGTCCGTTTGGTTTGCAGAAATGCATGTCTTTATTGTCCACTTGTGAATGTATACGTTTTACTGTTTGCATTATCAGCACTTTTGTTTTATGTATGTTTTAGGTGACTGCGGAATAAATGTGCAGTCTATTAGGGAGGCACTCTGGTTCTGTTTGTTGTTAAGAGTCACAAACGTTACAATATAGGCAAGAATATCTTGTCAATGAGACAGCCACTAGAGGCTGGATTAACCCATAGGTAAGCATAGAAGTTTCTATGAAACTGCTATGTTTACAGCAGAAAGGGTTAATCCTAGATGGACCTGGCACCCAGACCACTTCATTAAACTGAAGTGGTCTGGGTGCCTATAATGGTCCTTTAAGCATACTTATCCATAATCACATGAATTCTCCCATATGACTTCTCCATTAAATGTTGACCATTTACTCTGCCATGTTAGTCGTCTTGTGTGCACACTGCTTGTGGTCTAATTCCCTGAACTTGCAATTATGCAATCCAGTGGGTAAAGGCATTTCTTCTGAGCAAGTATTCTAGGTCTTTAAAGAACTGAGCTGAGAGATTATCCAGCTCCAAATGAGCGAAGAGTAAAGAAAGCTCTTCATATGAACAGATTCACACATGGAATATATTAGTGATCTTTACCTGTATGAAGAAAGTAATTTATTTTTGAAGGGATCTTTAAATATTTTTAGTCCTCCATATATTATGTTCATGTAAACATAATTACTTAACTTGCCACACAACTGGTTGACCGTAAGGGTTTATGTGATCTTTTTATATTGACCGGTACAAGTGCACATAGACAGGCTCTACCAGTAGTATTGTCATGTTGGCATTTATAGTCCTTTTTCTAAATCCTTTCTTCATGAAAGGAACACTGCAAGCTCCATAACCAGGGGTTAGTGTCAGGTGTGCCCGTGCTCGCACCTCCCATTTGTAAATAGTAAAACTGGTTTAGAACGTGGTGTACACTGGGCTCTGCTCCATGCATGCACTACCTCTGACCGAGCATGAAGCTCTCTGTCTGAGGTAACCCATCTCAAGCAGTGCTTGGCTCCTGCGAGTTCAATGAAGTGCCATTGTTGGTAGTGGAGATGGGGACCAGTGCCCAGTGGATCCTAGGTAAAAAGCCTACATCACTCTAAAATTGTTTGACTATTTGACTGGTTGAGGGCAGGGTAGTGACCTGTAATAGCTATAGTACTTAGAAAGTTCCTTTAAAAAAATCTGTGGGTATATCAACATAGGTTTTCTATTTCGGGGATGTGCTACGTTTTCTTGGTTTAAATTTGTCCAAAGCCTCTGCTATTATGTAAGTGCAGATGTAAGTTGGATGCCTTCACTCATGAAAGCAGCCAGAGCCAACAGCTCCAGTTGAGCATCTAGTAAGTAAATTGAGTTTCCCACAGCTTGGCAAGCGCAGTCCAGCTGGCAGAACTACAAGTTATTCACTGACAAAAGTTTATAGCTGTGGTTCATAATTAGCCACAGTTACACAGCCCCTCACCCCGCCGCCTGGCTGAGGAATAGTTTCTGGGAAGTGTACAAAATGCCAAATGTGTGTGTAGTGTTGTTTTGTTTTGTGTTTTTTTTACATTTATTTTTTATACATATTTATTTTTTTGGCACGTATTTATAGCGTCGGCAAACCTTATTATATAAGTTTGCAGGGAGCAAAGTTACATGTGCGGACAATGACACTTGGTAACTGTAGCCGTGCTTTCAGGAACACTCTGTCCAGGCAAGAGAAGGACTTCTGGAATGTGTCTGAGTACAGATGAGGTCAAAGTGGGCCATATTACCATGTTTAGAACATTACAGTAACTTTTCGTTCTAAACAGGTATTTTAATAGTCTATAGCACATTTCTCCCACAGCCATTTGAGCTTCTAAAATCTAACAAGTCGTATGAAAAAAACAAAATGTTAATGGGTTTTGCTTCTCATTTCTAGTGGCACTTCACCGCCAATGTGCTTGGCACAGGCTACATACATCTTAACACTACAAATCAGTGAGGGTATTGTGTGAGCGGTGTGACAAATGTGAGATGCGCATAAAAAAAAAAGGAACCACTGCTATGACAGCTGGTCCAACATAAAATAGTACTCTGAAGAGGCAATGTCAGTTATTGAAACATTTTGTTACACATGAATTGTGAATTGCATGAATTTTATTATACCAACTCTGTGTGCAAGCCAAAGAAAAAATTAGAAATTGAGTCACCTCAGAAAATATAATAAATTGAGTGATCCTAAAAGGAAAAATAATTTGCCCCGAGAAGTAAAATATCATCTTACCAAAAACAAACTGGCAAAGAGTATAATAAATTAAAGAATCCCTCCCGATCAGCTGAATGAGATCTTCATTTGAATTAAATACGTTGACTGCAGAAGGAGAAGGTTTAGAGCAGGGGTAGTCCACCTTTTAATACCTACCGCCCACTTTTGTATCATTGATGGTAAAATTTCCTTACTGCCCACCAGTGCCACAGTAACTAATTTTATAGCGCAAGTGCAATTACTTTTTATTCTTTTATTGTTTCATTTTTTTTTCTATTCTACTTTTTTTGTGTGTGTGTAGTTGGGATGTGTAAATCTATCTTAAAGTCTCCCCCTCCCTACATTTTACCTTTTACCTGGGAGGGGCATAATGCTGCAAGCCCTGGTGGTCCAGTGGTGGCATGTTTACTTTAGCCTACAGCTCCTCCAGCTGCAGGCTTACTCTCCTGTCCTTCTTGCTCCGACCAGCCTGCTCCCGGGAGGAAAACAGAGCCTCCCAGGCCCTTTCCTCCCTCTGCTGGAACGAAGTGTCAGCGGGTCGGTAAGGCAGATCTCCTCACCAGCCTGAGAGGGCTTACAGCAAGGCTGGCTATGCATGGGTTGGCAGGTTTGATGAAGGGAACTCCCCTGCCAGCCTTGGTCCACGGCCATCGAGGCCCACTGGGCATATTCTGCAGAACCCACCACCGCCCACCTGAAATAGTGGGCGATAGGGACCAGTTTGATTACCCTTAGTTTAGAGGAAGCTATTGGTTTCCTTGTTCCTGGCTTAGGATATACTGCCCAGGGTGCATAGGTATAGTGGCAGGATAATAAGCAGGTGTGTTTGTTTTCCTGCCCATCTGTTTTTGACCTTTTAAATCCTAAGTGGGCTGACTCACTCTGGCCAGTTTGATTTCTCTTTGTGTGGCAAATGTGAAGGACCATTTCACTCTCTTGAAGCTGCCTCCATTATTTTGTAAACTCCCTTGTGGTAGTTATTAATTGTTGTTTTCTGCATTCACATTGTGTGCTTTAGTGACCTCCTTCTGCAAATCCAAAAAACAAATACACTTTTAATTTTTCTTTTCAGTTTTCAACTTTCACGTTTAACTTACCATTGCCACAAAACAACCTTAAGAAATTGCCAACATTCATGAAGTTACTTGTTAAACAAATCACTTCCTCCAGATGTTGCACTTAACCAACTGTGCAAGCCTGGGGTTAAATCACTTTTTCTTAAAAATCTTTGTACAACCTATTAACTCATCCTTGAATCCCATTACATTAATTATACACTCCATTTAAAATCAAGTTGATTGTTTTTTTCAAAATTCATCAGGTTATTTTTTTATTTAATTTTTTTTGTAGAACATCGGGAAATGGTCTGCAAGATAGATCCACAGATTGTATAGAAGTAAAAGTCCCATGTTGCTTAGCCAGCTTTCAGCATGGCGAAGCTCTGTGGACATTGTAGTTTTAGAACATCTGTGGGATCTTTTGAACACCCATGGTCTTTAAGAAAATCTTAAAACTTGATGAAATCCATTGAAAAATCTTTTGTGGTGACCATTGTCCATAGCACAAATTGAATTCCCACTAGTTACATTTATCAAAGCACTAGTTATTGTTTAGATCTTGATAAATTGACGATATTGTTTGACAGATCATTATTGTATCCGATGTTGATATGAAGGTTGTGAGCGTAGTGACTGCAGTAATCTGGTCATCATGATCGGAGTCTGTAAAAACGAACATTTTAATGTCAAGTACTGAAATCTGGATGAAATAAAATTTGTTACCAAGAAAAAAGTATTCCCAAGTTTCTTTTGTGTAAGCAGTTGCTATATTTTCTCAATCTCCCTTTCTCTCTCCCTCCTCCTCTTCCCCTGAATTTACCACAAATCTGAGACCCCATTTAAGATGGAGTCTCTGCTCTGCAGGAAAAGCCTGCAGCTGGACATGAGTTGCCTCGAGTTTAGCTGTTTAACTTGCTAAAGAATTACAATGTGGTTTATTAACAGACTGTTTTATTTTAATCTTAGATTTCAAGCCAGTCTATGGGAACATTTATATTTTTGAAGTTGAGTAATGAGGCTATCTAGTAAAGTCTAAATACCTGCAGAAATTGCAAAATTTAGGAAGATCAGGCTGATTTTCACAAGTTAATACAAACGAATCCACTGCCGTATTAATTTAGAGGCAGTTTCATTTGGTATGAATGATAGTAAGTCTAGTAAACAGCCCCCATAATTTATCTTCTGAATTACCACAATATTTACATAATACCTATAAAACAAATTTTATATATATATATAAAAGCCACAGCCAAAATATACAAAAATATTGAGATATAGGCTAGCACTCACGGTCTTGTAGTAAAAAATCATCTTTATTCAGTTATTCCATAAAAACTTGATGTTTCAGCCCACGTCCTGGGCTTTCTTCAGGAGCAACAAACAATAATAACATGTCAGCCTAAAATGCTGCAATATATACTTACTTATGGGTATATATTGCAGCATTTTAGGCTGACATGTTATTGTTGTTTGTTGCTCCTGAAGAAAGCCCAGAATGTGGGCTGAAACGTCGAAAATATTAAAAAAAATAAATAAATAAATAAATATATATATATAATGTGAGCTTGGCAAGTAAACCCTAGAGTGCTTTAGGTTACTTTATAGACATCTATATAAATGATAAAACTATTCCTACTATCCAAATGGTCTGTTCGATTACTGTTGAATGAAATGTTTTATTGCCATCAGTATATTTGTCATGGTATGAAATAAATGAAAAATTTCAGTTTCGTATACACTCCCTTGTATTTACTATCGTATTTGAGAGAATGTGTCCTTTTATTGCCACTTCAAGTATGACTGATTTATTTATTTATTTTTACGCATAGTTACAGCTATATGATTGACAATGTGATACTGCTGATAACTGGCACACTTCATCAGCGATCTATTTCTGAGCTCGTACCCAAGTGCCATCCGTTGGGAAGCTTTGAACAGATGGAAGCGGTCAACATTGCCCAGACACCCGCAGAACTCTATAATGCTATTCTTGTTGACACTCCATTAGGTAATAATACTTTGCAGTCTTCTGTTTCATTTCTTTTTGGGGGAAGACGGGGCTTGACTTTTGTTTTTCTCATGTTAAAAAAATAAATAAAAAATAAATTATATAGTGCATCACTCTACTGTTGTGTATAGTTATTACATAGCTGCACAGTGGCTGCATAGATTTTTTTCTTTTAAATGAGCGATTGTGAACAGCTCCTGAGTTCATATCTGGCTTTGTGCATTGAACACCTTGTATGGCGGCTTCATTAAATACTTTACCATGCTCCGATAGCTGCATGGTTCATGAATGAAGCCAATTGTGACTGATCTGCGGTGCCACACTAGACATGTTAACAGAACTGGCATTTGCAGGTTGTCTTTTCATATGGGATGTCTGTGTTGCTCGGATTTGCAACAAAATTTGCACAAATTAATTGTAAGCAGAGCAATCCTGTAATTCGGTGTTAATGTAATGCCTAAAATAGACAACAATCTGCAGGATTTAGATAGTGTTCTGTCAAATTTGACCGATATGCTTTAAAATACAAAAAAAGGCTTTGGCCAAGACCTTACATCATGTGGACCTTTGCTTGTAATCTTGTGCACATCTCCTTTGATTTATTTTATTTCTCTTCAGCTGCATTTTTCCAGGACTGCATATCGGAGCAGGACCTTGATGAAATGAACATTGAAATAATTAGGAACACTCTTTACAAGGTAAATATAGATGGCCTTCTCTTTTATTTATATCATCTTTCTTCCTATAAATAGGCCTGTAATCTAAATTGATTGTTGATAAAAATGCAATTGAGTTTTTCTTCTTTTGATTGTTCTTATTGCTGAGATTTGTAGCTCTATGTGTGACGACCCATAATTTGCACATCATCTTCTATTATTAGAATTATCAGTAATATGTAATTGCATATGTGTGTAGCAGAGTGATTTATCAAGGCAAAACCAATGCAATTCTGGGTGCAACATGCTTAGTTTTGAGATATTCTTTTGGTCTTCATGGCGATTGCTCCTTGTTTTGCACTTGATACCTAAAAATCACTTTGTTTTGCCTTGCTAAATCGCTTGATATGTGATACCTCTTGAAGTGTGTGTGTGTGTGTGTTTCCTTATGCTAACATATGACTTCTGATCTGTACTTTTCAGGCTTATTTGGAATCATTTTATAAATTCTGCAAAGCATTAGGAGGAACGACCGCAAACGCTATGTGTCCAATCCTGGAGGTATAGTATATGTTGGAATTGCTTGATTCCTTTACTTGGCTTAACATGCCCAGTAAGAAGAAGAATAACAAATTCTTATTATACATTGTTGAGGAATAATCGTAATTCAATGGTGGGGCAGTGAGGTAACTCAGTTGGTCACATTTTCAAACGTCACGGTTTGTTATGAACACACAAAATGCACTTCATGCACAGAATAATACTCTTTACAAGCATTTTTCTTTTTAATAATTTACTGAGATATTGTCCATAAGTCCATGTGATGTGTGTCAAAAGACTTTTTAAAAATTTACTGCGCATAATTTTTAGAGCTATTGCAGATGGTTTATTGCGAGCACCTTCGTTGCCAGCTGTGTTATATCTGGAAAGGCTACATGGCTGTTGCAGAGTATGGTTTGCTGAATGATTGCTGGTGCATTGTTCTGTTAGAAATAACCCTTAGTTCTTTGTGTTCTGTCCACAGTTTGAAGCTGACCGAAGGGCATTTATAATCACAATTAATTCATTTGGCACTGAACTTTCTAAAGAAGATCGTGCCAAGTTGTTTCCCCACTGCGGGAAATTGTATCCTGAAGGACTAGCTCAGCTGGCACGAGCTGATGACTACGAGCAGGTCAAAACAGTAGCTGACTATTACCCAGTAAGTAAATTGCACAAACCACTGATTGGTACATTGGTCTTGTCACTAAAGTCTATTGCCACCTAACTAAAAAGTATGTATACTTTTTAGTCAGGTGGAAATAGACTTTAGCCAGCAGGTAATATTTGAAGAGGCACTGTTACTTTTGTTATTGGTAACTGTCCATGGTGTATGTTTGCCGGCGGTGTGACTTAGTCATGGTATTTTTTATTTTTTTTTCTCTTCCAGCTGAAGTGGTAGAGGTTAACACAGTGAGAGAGTTTAAGCATGTGTTGGAGTCTAGGCTATCCTAGACTTAAAATAAAGACAGGGGCTGATGACAGTATTTAGCAAATTGTGCAGACTAGAGGGGCCAAACGGTTCTTATCTGCCGTCGCATTCCATGTTTCTATAGTTACCCAGACCACTTCATCTGGTTGAAGTGTTCTGGGTACACTGTCCCTGTACCCTATAGTCATGCAATGTAAAATATTGCAGTTTTAGAGAAACTGCAATAATAACTTTGCAGGACTAAGACTATCTCCAGTGGCTGTCTATCAGCCCCACGCATATAGGACAACCTTCTGAAAGCCATTGTGTTTTCCGAAAAGGTATACACTTTATTGTTTCTCTAACCAAAGAGGCTCTGTCACTTTTTTTTAACTGTCCCAAAAAATTCTTTCTTAAAAAACACTCTTACTGTGTTGGAATTTCTTTGCAGTTCCACTGCATTTAAAAGATGTATGACACATGTAAGTGCCAATAATGATAAATAGCATTTCCATCTCTTTTTCCCATCCGCCATCAGTCTTGGCAGCTGCTGGGAACAGGCATCATCTTACACAATGTGCAATAAGGTACCATATTATTTATTCCATATGTGAGGCTGTTTACGGCAGCTTTCCAATGGAAAAAAAGTCATTTTGCTATACAGTGGGTATCACAATCATTTCATTGTGTACTTTGTGTAATAAATATAAAAGAGATTGATGCCACCCTCTGCAAAACTTTAGCAAGATACTTTAAAAATACCACTAGAACTTAATTTTGTTAGAAGAGATGAAAATATCTCTGGAAATTGAACAGAATTTTCTCATAGATGCCGGAGTTAAAATGACACCCACAGCACCATTGCCACTACAGCACTCTGTCTGAACTAGGCCATACACTGAGGGTTTAGCTCTGGATACCTAGAGAAAGCTCCTAAACAGGACTGTCTCTTTAGATCTTCCATAGACCGTCTTGTGTACTGTATTGAAAACTGCTCCTCGCAAATGGAGTCCCCAGGAGCCGGATCAGTATGACTGCATTAATATTGTAATACTGAGGAGGAACATCTTTAATTAAACACAGTTTTTGGTCATATTAACCTTCTATTTTCATGTTATATCCCCCACTCCAAAAACAAACCCACAAAAAAAGATTAAAGCAAAATCTTACTTGTAATCCAAATCCACCTCTGATAACGACCTGAGTGGAGGACTTGGGCAGCAGGGACTGTGCCACCATCGGTCATCTGTTGTATTCTGTATGTTCTCTGTTTCATAGTGAAACACTGCATTACAGACTCCAAAACATTGAAGTGGTCATGGTGCTTAGAGTAATCCTTTAACTGAAGTATTTATCCCTAATTGCTACAACCTCATCCAACTCCATAAGAGGACATGCAACTTTGGGGGGGTGGTAAAAATTAAAAAACCTCAGTAGTGACAGTACTGCTTAAATAGAAACTGTTATTGTTAGTGTTAAATTGTTTTGTATGTGTCCCATGTTAAATGCATATCATTTAGGCTTTTGTTTGTTTCCTCTTCCTTTACCTTTCCCACTGTTTGTCTCTGTTTTAGTTTTTCCTTGTAGTTGACAAGCACGTGGAATCAGGACATGCTCGGTTTACAAGCTATATAAATTTATAGATTGTTGTATTGTACAAGTGCTCCGGGGGTGCATAACGTTTCGTTTCATTCTTCCCAGTAAAACAGTCGAATAAAAGTAAACTTTTGCTTGATTGCACTAGTTATTGCATGAGTTTGAGCAGGACTTGTTAGATCTGTTCCAGCAATCTGTCATCCCCAGACAGAATATTAACTGTAGTAAACATTTTAGAATGATGGAGCATCAGTTAAAAGCTTAGTGTTACAATATTTTTTTTTTTTTTTATTCCTTTAAAAAATAAAATAAAACCTTTTTTAGAGCAGAGAGGCTGTTTACGGCAGCTTTCCAATGGTAAAAAAAAAGTCCTTTAGCTATACAGTGGGTATCACAGTGACTTCACTGTATACTCTGTGTAATAAATATAGAAGAGATTGATGCCACACTATGCAAGATACTTTAAAAATACCACTAGAACTTAATTTTGTTAGAAGAGATGAGAATATCTCTGGAAATTGAACAGAATTTTCCCATAGATGCTGGAGTTAAAATGACACCCACAGCACCATTGCCACTACAGCGCTCTGTCTGAACTAGGCCATGCACTGAGGGTTTAGCTCTGGATACCTAGAGAAAGCTCCTAAGCAGGAGCTTCCATCTCTTTGTTAGCTGCAGTGTAGGTGGAGGGTGATGCCTGGCAGACACGAGGTAAAAAGTCCAACCATTCTAAAACAGGTTGACTACTAATAATGGGGGTTTACGGGGTGAGGGCATTCCTGGCACCTTAACCACTACATAGTGCTGTATTGGTTATGGAGTTTGGAGTGTTCCTTGAAGTATACCTCCTGTGATAGTCCTGTCTGGCAACATGCACTTCATCTGAAGTGTGGGGGTGCAGACTGTGGAGTCCCTGCTCTGGGGCCCTTAAATAAGCATACAATAAATAATTGAGCCACAACACTATGGTCAGTTTACCACAAATGTTTTTATTCCACTATTAGTTGGACCTAGCTGTGTCTCTTACTTATTCTATACAGATTGCAGTCTAGGAGTGCACTTAGGAGTAAATGGTTGAAATATCATGTATACATTGAGATACATGTCATTTTATCCCCATGCTTCTGATGCTGATTTCCAATGTGTGATCCTTTTGTACTTTATGTAGTGGACCCTGAAACTAAGCAGCTGGACATTAGGCTGGGGATGCACATCCAACATGATTAGCTGTGAGGCATCGGCTGGTGGTAGGACCTCCATTTAACTTTTGAGTCTATGGAAAAGTTAAATTGTCATTTTCACATTTAATATGGCGATCAGCACCAGGCTTGAAGCACTTGTTTTTCTTTTCAATTAGTTACCTCTATCCTGATGTGTGGTACTGAATACATTAGTGCCAACATGTATTGTGGGCAGGCAGGTCAAACATAATTCATCTTTGGACCAAAATAATTTGTCGTTTCAGACAATTATTGTGAGCTTTATTCTGTCTATACTTATTAAAAGGGAGGATGTTCAATGTCTGTGTTTTCATATTTATTTTCCTCTTCTCTTTTTTCCAGGAGTACAAGTTGCTGTTCGAAGGTGCGGGGAATAACCCTGGTGATAAAACACTTGAAGACCGTTTCTTCGAGCATGAGGTAATATCTGCAACACGGACAGGGCTATTTGATTTTGCAGCACACAGCTGCACAGAACCCAGCTTGTAAAGCAGACCCATTAAGGATTGGCAGCCTCCATTTCTCTGCTGGTTGTTCATTGATGAGATCCAGATGAGAATTTGTAGTTTTCTGGATTGTAGATTTCTGTTTCACTTATGGCCTTCAAAGTTATACCAATAATTCTTCTTTTCCGTACAGATGGGATTATACTATAAAACCATTTTTTTCGGGGGGAAAAAGTTTTGCCAAATTTATCATGATATAAAAAGATTTATCTGTAATTAGGAGTGTTTTTTTTTTTTTTTTTTCTGAAGTATCAAAACTCCTGCAAATTGGTAAAACTCTAACACTACAGACACATACATTGCTGCATTCTAATGGCAACACTACACACAAACAAACCCTTTCTTTCACATACACTTTTCATAAAACTTGCTTACGTTTAAACACACAGACACTGCTCTCAAAAATAATCCTGCAATTAGGTGCAAATTGTTGTGGTAATAGAGGTTTCCAAAATTTTAAGAAAATAAGTAAATATTATACACATCCACAGTGGAAAAAAAAAATATTCACTAGTGCCGGCCATGGCATACTCACTAGGGGTGAATTTTTTTTCGGAAGAGCTAAATTTTGGCTCTCGAGTGAAAATTGAGTACATATTTTCAAAGCAGCTGCCTCTCACCTCTGTCAGTTCATACATTGGCTTTCCGTAAAGATATGACTTAATTTAAGATCCTGATACTTGCTTACAAATCTCTACTCAATGCTGCCCTGAACTACTTATCCTCACTAATACCCAAATATGTCCCATCTAGGCCCCTACTCTCTGCCGGACACCTACATCTACACCTATAGAATGCCCTTCCCCTCTCTTTTAGAATTTCATCCAGTCTCCACTCCTTCAAAAAATCTTTGAAAATGTACTTCTTCAGGAAAGCATATAAATGAAACTGTGAACAGTTTTCTCTCCCCACAACCTGATTCCGCTCCTGAAACTGTCATCAAAACAAAACATCAAACCCTCAGGCAACACTATCCTCAGTGAACACTATTCTACCCTACCCTTACCTCTTGTGTCACTATACCCCACTCCTTCTAGCATGTGAGCAGGGCCCTTAATCCCTCTGTTCCTGTTTGTCCAACTCGTCTGGTTACAAATTTGGGTCTCTTAGTCCACCCATTGTACAGCGCTGAGGAATTTGTTGGCGCTTTATAAATAATAATGGCTTGAAGAATGTGTCAAGCCAGCACGATGCATTCTTTAGCATGCTGAAACAACTGCCATATTATGTGTCTGCCTTGTAGGATCTCCTTAAATCATTTAGGAATAATGTATAATATTTGTAACTACTTGTGGGCTGGAATTGAGAATCAGTTAAGTAGGTTTGTGTCCTTTCAAGCATGAGAACACTAATTTAAACTTGAACTTGGTCACATTGTCAATCTACTCAATAACCATCTTGGAGACAGCACTGGGAGCACATGCCTGCACACTCTTCTGTTACGTGCACGCATATTATGCCAACACCAGTAAACTAGTGTGCTCATTCTGAGATCCTTTGGTGTAGAGGATGTTATGATGCAATTCGTCTGGCTGTTTCTGGCTTCATTGTAAAGCCTTGTTGTTCTATTTTTTTTTGTTTATTTTTTTTGTAATGTTCTCAACACGCAGAGAACAGGACTGCTCTAACATAACATTTCTTTGTAAATACCAGGACACTCCATAGTTTCATGAGAAGATGATGTTGCTCAGAACAAATACATGCTGCAGGACTTAGTGTGTTTTGTACATACCTCTGCTGCACTTCTTTGCTCCAGAAACACTTCAATAGCCTTTGCTATAGCTAAAGAGCAGCCACAACCTCTACTCTGAAGAAACGTTACACTACTCCTTTAATGTACTGGGTAATAAGGAGACGAGCTCCATTTAATAGTTTCTTTTTAATACGACTCGCTGGATTTGATTAATGTGCAGAGTTGGAAAATGCCACTCTTCTTGTACAGCAATAAAATAACTATATTTGTGCTGAAGGGCATGTCACGTTGCCAGGTTATTAGTAGCTTTGGAACTGGCTTACTCCAGTATGTTGCTATTGTGTCATTACCCCAATTAAAAAATTGGAACCCATTCATATTGTATAAAACATTTACAGGGCTATATAGTTTTGAACTAAGTGCCAAGCTCTAGTGTAATGAAACAACATAACTTGATATAAGACCAGTCAGTCTATTAAAGTTTTCATTTTAAATTTTTTTTTTACTGAGGATCCTATTAACCTTTTAGTGTTAAACAATACATTTGATGCAGCAACCCATGTAAAATGTGTAAATTTGTCTTTCAGTGGTTTTAGCCACCTACTGTACTAAATTCTGTAGCTGGCTAGAGCTTTAAAAGTGTGTTTCTTTTGTGTTCTTTATTTTGTATCTCTTTTTGAGCTGCTATTTTAGTATTAAAATATCATGCAAATTTGCCAATAACCAAGTCCTTTGCTTAATATACCTCCTCATTCAACTACTGTCATTATAACCATTTATTTTTCTGAACAACGAAATTTAAAAGCACACTCTACAGCTCTCTGGCCCTAAACAGGTAGTTACTAGAATATCACAGACAACCCTGTTTCTCCTGTAATTTAGTTGGGAAGGTTCCTGGGCATGTCACATCTGCCTCTGCTCAGTGCTTACCATATTAGAATATTGTTTTAATTGTACTATTCAAACCGTTCTTGTACAACTTGTGAAAATACGGAGTATGGAAAAATAAGGTATGTACAGCTGTAAGCTCACTACCGCCTCTAACACAAAAATAATACGACAGAGGCTTTGCAGAGTAATGTGTTCTATACACTTAACAAGGGAAAATATGGGTGCTAAGTTCTGAAGTGCCCAGCATTTGTTGGCTAGTAAACACAAGGCATGGAATTTTGTCTTTGTATAAATGCTTCCAGCGTGCATGCCTTGACCACAATTTCCCCCTCCTATAACCAATTTTACTCCTCGTTGCCTACCACCAGTCATTGGCAATTCTACCTTTCTCTGCTGCTGTCCCTCTGTTGTTGCTGTGTTTCTTACTATTTTATTACTCTGCTGTGCAAGCCTGCTGGTCTACCCACTTAAATTAACCTATTTTCTGATACTCTGTGCCTTCTTGGACTCTTCTATAGCGTTTATGGATTGGATTAATTGTACTTCCATAAGGAATACATCCCCTATTTTTGCCCCCTCTGTCACACTTTATATGTTGGCTGTGTAGAAACTCCCAACAGGATTCTAATAGGAACTCTGGTCCCACCAAGGTGAACTCAAATCATCAGGCCGGTCTCTGAGTGCATTCCATTTAGAGCACATGATTTAACAGTTTCTGCAGTTAGAGACCTAGATGCTTCAAAGTCACCTTTGTTGAGATGTCTGTGTTCACATGTCTTGGATTTCCTAGGCTCTAGTGAACATCGTAGCGAATAGGGAACACGAGGCTGTGAATGTTCCAGTCCTTCCTTTTGAAACCAGGCGATGCTTCGACTCCAAGCATTTTAGAGTCCCAAAGACCCGAGACATCCTGGATCTCAGTCTTGGACAGGTTTTTCCTATCATTCAGGATGGAAACACTGAGGTCTGTCTTATTTATACAGAAGGTTCCTTCCTGACCACCATGGCTTTAAAGAATGCTGCACATACCTTTCTATTACTTTCACTACCAGCTTCTCCACTTTACATTCTAGCATCATCATTCCAGTTTCATTTAGTCTAGCCAAGGCTCAAATTAACGGTTTAGGTGCAAAGTGGAATATTTCAACGTGCACTGTTGCCACCTGGTTGTTTAATGGAGGAAAGATCAAAGTATAATACAAACTCCCTTTATCAAAGCACAATGTATGCAAAAGTGAATTCAGAGTGTACCTCTTATAAAGCACTCCCTCCCTCTAAAAAATGAACTGAATCAACCATTCACAAATACTACATTTTCCTTGAAAGTGCCTGGTGTCCATGACTTGCATAGAATCTGATGTCACCCATACCTGGGTCATGTATTTCTCTGTGCAGACTCTTGCAAACATTCCTCATCATCTTGGTCCTTCAAGACCATGGTTGGTGTGTCACGATTCTCATGAGATCATTCTCCTTTCTAGGCGCAGTTATGGATGCAGCCTCCATGAGAGTCTTCCATATGGGCCTCCATCAGTAGCCTAAAGTGTTGGAACTCTGTTTTTTCAAATTGTTTTTTCTATAGGCTCCTGACCAGGTATTCTGATGTCCAGGCTTGTAATTGTCTGGTCCTCGTGGTTACATTTGACTGTTCAATTGTCCTGCAACCATACCACGTAGTGGATTTTGATGGACTGTGAAAACCTTAAGATGAAAAATTATGCTTACTGATAAATTCATTCTCATCTGTCCACAGTCCACATGTGGTGTTCAGTCTCCTTGGGTTGCTCCTTTCTTGATCTTATCTGCTTCCATGTTGTCGCTAGTTTCTGTCTCCATATATCACACTAGAGAGGACCAGATAGGTTGAGAAGACTTCTTTCTGTCATTTGGAATACTTCTCCAATTACGGAAGCAATATCCTGCAAGTAATGGATTTCCATGGATCCTGACCATACCAATGAAAATTAAATTAATAATAAAACATTTATATATATTTTTATGTCTCTTCTCTCCAACCACTAAAATTGTGCATTGATTGGCCAGCCTATCTTGTTGCTTCCATAGAGCTAAATGTGGCTAAATTAATTCATAAGTGGACAGTACCCACAATTCATCTTGGTTGTATTGTACAACTGGATTGCACATGCGATTCCAGAACTTATACATTGTTCAATAAAATGTAATTTTGAGTTTTTCTCATGCTTTAGCTGTAGATAAGAAACATAAACATACTTCTACGAATTTATGCTCATGCAAGCAATTTAGAATAGTATTTTCAAGATTTTCAGCATTTTCCATATAAGTAGCTTTTTGCCTGGGGTATGCCATAAGGTTTGGTGAAGAAAAAAAAAAGCATAGATCGGGGGTACTTGCCAGAATAGTACTTATAAACTGTAATTCATATTGCTGCTCCGCTAAATTATTTTTTCTTTGAATAGAACACATTATAAATCTTGCAGTTGTTATTCTGATACTGAAGGCTACCTAACTGTGTTTTAAGTTTACCTCTTTTAATTGCGCTTTAATGTATCTAGAATTACATTTGTGCACCTCATAAATTGCCTGTTAACGTCAGATGTCTGGCAACAGAACTGAAATGCTTGTTTGGCTTATGGAACGAGGTGAACTATTAAATGGAGTGCTCAGATTAACAGAGTTGATGGTTAATGCTGATTGGGAAAAGGCATGTTTGTTTTCGTTGAATCTATTGATCTGTTTTCTAGAAATATACCGAGACTTAGATACTTGCTTAGATAAGTTGCAGTGATCAACCTTCTCAGGACCTGTAACATTTTACATAGATCTACGGAACAAAAAAATATTAAAGGACGCTAAAGCAAGCTGGTGTGCTTTCTGAATGAGTGGTGTCCCATTATAATGACCATTAAAGAGCTAAAAAGCATCACTTTTATAAATAATTAACTAGAGACTGGAGGGGAGAGCGCAGGAATACCAAGTACCCAAGAAATTGAGGATTTGTTTTGTTTTCAGATACATAAAAAAATTGGTTCTCTTTTCTGATTTAGTCTTCTATATTTTCCCCTAAAGCTATACGTGTGTGTGTGTGTGTGTGTGTGTCTCGGATTCCTCTTTGTGTAAGTAAGTGTGTGTGTATATCTCTGTTTCGTGTGAATGTATGAATGTGTTTCTCAGTTTCCTATGTGTATAACTATTGTGTGTATTATATTTTTATTTTGTGACTTTTATACTTCAGATTAATAGTTCATACACTCCTCCTTACAAACACAATATTCACATTGTCATTTATTATCAAACCTTTAATCAGGTTTATTATCAAACCTTTAATCAGGCTTGTCCTCCAATATGGGATTAACACACGTATCAGTGTCTACAAGTACTACTGCAGGAGTACTTATTTGTAAAAGGTTGAGAAACCCTTATTTGTAAAAAGTTGATCAAAGCACATGTCACAAATTAGGTAAACCATCTCAGATCATTGTTTTGTCTTTGTACTTGATGTTATGTGATCACTGATGATCACTTTTTTTCTCTCCTCTCTCTGTAGGTAAAGTTGAACAAACTGGCTTTTCTAAATCAGTTTCACTTTGGTGTGTTCTATGCCTTTGTGAAGCTGAAAGAGCAAGAATGCAGGAACATTGTGTGGATCGCAGAGTGCATCGCGCAAAGGCACCGGGCCAAGATTGATAATTACATTCCTATCTTCTAGAGACATATATTCCCAGCACACCTTCCTTATCCGGGTCCCATGGGCCCTTGCAGATGTTCTACCTGCCTAATGGCCTGATCTACGTTAAGTGATGGGTGTGACATCAAATTTTAAAGATGTAATGAATTTTATTTTTGTGATGGGCAACTGGTTTTGCTATATCTATGGCAATTAACTACTGCTGGTATTTTTTTTTTTTAACCCTTGTCACTGCCAACTAGGCCTGTCTTCCTGATGGCAGTGCAGGAGTTAGTCAGGCTAAACCCTTTCACATGGTTTCTGGATATAGATGTAGGTGTTCCTATGTACTCACATATGATCCCTTCTGTATGAACAGTTTATTTCTTTTGTGATTCTTCAGAGCTATCTTTGTCTCCTGCTTTCAGTGAAGCAGCACGACCCTTGTCCATATGGATTAAATATTTAATTTATTGCTGAAAGGGGAAAGATAATCTGATCAATTATATCACCAGTGACTGTCAGCACAAATTCACCTCTGAGAACATAAATCTATGTAACAAAGAGTATAATAGATGTGCTGAAGCATGTTCATTGTGGTCCTCTTAGAAGTAAATTTAAAGGTGTTAGGTGTATTATATTATCTTGTACCTTTGTCACTGTATAATTATAAATGTTTACACTAATAAAACTGTCACTCCTGCAAGGGACTTCATTCCATGCATTACAACCAGCTCTTTGATTTTCCAAGTCAGCTTTGTGTATATTAAAGAAAATCAACGAAAAGATATATTATTATGTTAATATATATTTTATTTTATTTTATTTTTTTGCCTGGGCCTTCTTATGAACTAATGTAAAGAGAAATGAAATATCTTAATACAGTAATCTAATTTAAAACCCATTCCCATGATGCAATTAAAGGCATCATTATGATAATATTGTTTTTCTAATGTAGTACACCACCCTTTCAAGGTTCCCCTTAAAGTCTTATATCTTCAGGAATTTGCACTAATGCAGTTTAACTATACTGCATGTTTGAAAAAGAGAGATCTCTATAAAGGTTAAATGATGATTTACAATGAAAAATCATTGTTGTGTGTATTGTCAATTTTACCAGATACAGATTCCCACTATTCCAAACACTTACTAGGTAATTTAAACTATTTAATATATGGAATTGGGCTGGGAGACCTTGCTTTTATAATGACTCTCTGGGTTTTGGTAAAGGCATACAACTGACCGATACTATAGAAAGATTCACTCGTCCTTAGCGCATAGTGTACACGGTCTGCTTAAGGTAAGAATACAGATAACAATTTAAATGCATTTGCAAATAATGTAGAGGTTAAAGGTTTTACCAACCTGAAACTTTATAACTCTGGGCAATTATTCTAAGCGCACGATACACATTTTATTGAGCCTGATCACTATGGAAATCAATGAAATTAAGTTTTTATAATTTAGTCATGAATGTATTCAGAGATCTCTGCATTCGGATGAATGAGAGTGAGATTCGGATATATATTGTATCTGTCCAGGCTTCTTTAGTACATGTCAAGCCAAAACATATTTTACCTTAATATATAAACTCATTGGTTCCAGGTCTACCCTTATTAAGTTGTTCGGTTAATCAGCCTTACATATAACAAACGTATGTATGTACACCCAGAGGACATTGTTTGTGCATGTTTACTTTATCATTTCATCAAGTGATTTTCCAGTTTAAAGCCAAAATGGCAAAACTTAAAACAAAATTGACTTGGGTTAAAATGGGTTAAAATAGCCAAACTGGAAAAATCTCTCACTTTGAATCCCCAGCTATTTTCACTAAAGTGAATAACCCTGACAGTTGCTCACTATCTATTCATTCTTATGACCTGTCTGTTTATGGTTTGCTGTATCATGATATTGCTACTAGTCTCATCACGTTTATGTAGTATTTTCTGTGGGAACTAGGAGGTCCACAATCCTACTAAGACTATCCTCTTAAGTATTTTACAAAATTCACTGTAATTATTTATATGAAAGTATAGTTAAGGATATATATGTATATGCTATCGGTAGGAATATATATTATGTGATTTGGCGGTTTTAGTGTTTTTAGAAGCATAAGAATGGAAAATCCAATAGTAACACACCAATTAAACTTTCACTGTTCCCTGTTTTTGTTGCAATGATTGTCTATTCCCAAGTTCAAAATGGTAATCCAGACATGGACCCTTTGCTCACTGTGTTTTGAGAGGCACCAGCTACACCTTGCTGACGAGCCCCAAAGAAGGTCGAAAGGGGGGTTGCTACATCTCTCATTCAGAGAGAACTTGCCGGCATTTCATTTCTGCATGTCCCCTAAGGATGGACGAAGTCTGATATGCCTTGGAACTAGTTCTCTCTGTAATGGCACAAGCAAAAACTATTTTGAGACCTGAGTGGGGATTTACCGAAGGGCAAGCTGCTGAGTTCCTCTAAGCTTTTGACAGTTCTTATATCTGCTATGTAACTATGAAACCGTTGGTCTGCCTCAATAACATTTCCAACACGTTTTAGCTTGAAGTTTAAACCTTTCCATTTATTTAATCAGAATCCGTTATTAGAACATATCTGCCACCAGGATTCAGCTTACAAAAAAGGAAATGCCCTTTTTTTTTGTCTGCTCTGTTCAGACACCGTGACCTAACTGGCAGTTGAATTAATTATGGAGGCCTTGTAAAGAGTGACAGTTTTATCATTCCTACTTGTCCGTGTTAAGGAGTAGATATGCTTTCTGAAACAGTCTGATTAACTTTTAAATGTGCAATGAATGTTTTACAAGAAATCTTCCTTGACGTGGATACATGCTCTCAACCTCAATGTATAAATAAACATGGATTTAAAATGTTTACAGGTTTGTTTAGTTTTCTTAATGGTGTGAAAGTGCTTCTTCTTTGCTCATTGCTTTTTATGTATTTATATTTTATAAAGCAAAGGCAATAATCATGACTTGGATGTGTATAAAGAGAGAGAACCCCTACAAAGTACATAAATATTAAGTACAATGTCGCCAATTGTTACACTTGTTAGTCATGCATTAACCCACTCTCATATTTCTCTCCTTTACTCCCTGCTGATTTAGTACAGACGTGGTAGAATTCACCTTTAATAAATCTGCCTTCATTAAAGACGTGTGAGAAGGATTTATAAGGAGTGAAGAGGTGTATATATTTTGACAGCTGTTGTAAAAGCCATGGATCGCTTTTTTTTTTCAGAAAGGTAAATACAGTGTTGTTTAAATACAAATTAAAGCAATTCCTGCCTTTCCGGGCTCTTAATTAAGGAATGGGAACCCTGAAAAACGCTGAAGATTTCCTAGAACAAAAGATTACTTTCTCAAGAACTCTATTTCCCCTAAAGGAACAACTACATTTTCTTTAGAAATTAGACAATGTAAGAATGTCTGCAGAAGACATTAATTTATTTATTATTTATCAGTGAAATTCTAGTAAGACTTCCAACGTTAGTCCTGACTTATTTAAAGTTCCAGAACACTTAGTATTTTCACCAGAGTGTTCAGGACATCATGCAGACCATCCATTATGTGTGTACACTAGCTTTGCCCATGAAAAGAAGCTGCTCTGTTTCACAAATTCTCAATAATGTAGTTTAAATGTGCAAGCACAGGGAAGCATAACCACCTGTAATGGAGTACAGCGCTACTGGTGTTTGTATTTTGTATTTTTTGGTTTTTGTAATGGCCTTTCTTAAAGGGACACTATAAGCACCCAGACCACTTCAGCTCATTGAAGTGGTCTGGGTGCAGTATCCCTATTGCATTAAGTGCTGCCATGTTAAATATTGCAGTTTCAGAGAAACTGCAATGTTTAAATTTGCAGCACTAAGTGCAGCCACTGGAGGCGCTTCCTGGATCCTAACGGACTGCTTTTTTATTTTTTTCTTCATAGGAAAGACGTGATATAATGCTCTCTAATGGGAAAGTCTAATGCATGTGGCATCTGCAGCACATGCGCATTAGCGCCCGTTCATCGCAGGGTGTCGGAGGAGGCGAAGCAGCGACCCAGTGCCGAGGGACATCGGCGCTGGGATAAGTTTAAGTAAATAAAGGGTTTTTAACCCTTTATTCATTTTGGTAGGAGGGCACGAGGGAGAGGAAAGGTAAAGGGTATTATAGTGCCAGTAATACAAACTTTGTATTCCTGGCACTTTTATAGTATCCCTTTAAACAATCTGTGCTATGATAATTCACCAGCCAGTGTTAATGTTTATTCCTCTTTGTTCATTGTGTAAATGCAGCTGTCATGTGCTCCTCTTTGTTTTAATCCTTGAAACCAATATTTTGTTTACTGTTCCAGGCTAGATCTTGTTAGCAGTCCCCTTCTTATTTGTTTTAGATCTGTTCCTGACTAATGTTGATTGTGTGTTCAGTCCTCTGCTTTTTCCTGGAGGAATATCCGAATCCAGTTCCTGATACCTATTCAAAATATCCAAACCTTTTTCTTTTTATCTTTTCTCAAGCCAGCCTATTCTCTTAATTTGTTTCTTTCATCATAATGGTTTTATTCATAACAGATTGATAGCCAGTTATGACCTTAATTGTAGTTATGCAATTTAACAGACCCACGTGCACTCATTCTCTCTGGGCAGGACTTGAAAATGTCATCCTTCAGACCCAGGTGCACAAACTATGTCGGCAGGTGGTCCTGATAACCATTCCCTGCATTCATGCTTTCTGTCATTGCTGCTCTTGGTCATCTGCTTTACTTTTATCTTTTAAATGGTTACTCAAAGTAATATGACCACTTAAGTTGTTTGAAGCGGTCATGGTTCCTGGAGTATATAATTTTTAACTAACAGATATAACACCAAAGTTAAAAATATCAAAACAATAAAATACAAAAAGTATATAATAATACTTAACTTGGATAACAGAAAACAGCCTCCCAAGGTCGTTACCCAAAAAACGACCTGTACCAAATATAGAGAGATACCAAAGAGAAACAATTCGGGATACGGCTGTATAAATCTACAAAGGGACATAAAACACAAAGTGTAATACTGTAACAACACAAAATTGTGTGCAGCAACGTATACACTCACTAGATGTAGACGAATAAAAGTGTTGCCTCCCCGAAATAGTGGGAGGGGGGGCTAGAAATCCCTCCTTCCACCTCCAGGTAGTAGATCCAACACAGGACTTCCACAGGTGAGGGTAAAAAAAACCGAATAAATTTATTGAATAAAACAGTAGGCAGTCACCATTCAGCATAGGATACATACAGCAGCAAAAAAGGGTCCTATGCGTTTCGTTCTGAGCGAACTTCTTTAGGGACCGCAATATAAAAATTACAATGTCGAGATACATATAAAAAAACAAACATATCCTTATAAAACCCCCACCCAAAGTTCCCTTAAATAGGGCTAGTCCCTAAGTCCATTGGTGGATCTAGGGGGCGTCTTTGAACTCTTCTATCTTGATTGGTATGGGAATCCACTCCTCAGCTGTTCACAATCCTCCAATCAATATCGCGATGAAATTGGCACCTTTCCGTAGAACCGGAACCAGAGTCCATGACCGGGACCGGAATTAACGTTGTGAATGGCTTCTGCGTTCCAAAATGCGTTACAGCAAGCATATTAGATGTATATCACCCAGGTTGGATCTACTACCTGGAGGTGGAAGGAGGGATTTCTAGCCCCCCACTATTTCGGGGGAGGCACCCTAAGGGCGATTTTATTCATCTACATCTAGTCTACATCTTTTTGGTTTTTGTAATGGCTTTTCTTAAAGGGACACTTTAAGCACCCAGACCACTTCAGCTCATTGAAGTGGTCTGGGTGCAGTATCCCTATTGCATTAAGTGCTGCCATGTTAAATATTGCGCATAATTTTGTGGTGTTATAGTATTACACTATATTGTGTTTTATGTCCCTTTGTAGATTTATACAGCCGTATCCCGAATTGTTTCTCTTTGGTATCTGAGTATATAATTTTTGTCTGTAGCAAAACACTGCAAAGTTTAACAACTTTGCTGCCAAAGGTAACTTCGCCTCCAACAGCATCATAGGGGTGTCATTCGAGTTATTTTGATGCAGATTCAGCCATAGGAGGACCATTGAAGCCCAGCAGTGATTCAGGTAAGAGTGCAAACTGTTGCAGAATTGTTTGCCCCATTACTAGGAAACAGGACCAGAGATTTTCTGGAATAATTTACACATAATGTCCAGTCTTTTGCCACATTCTGCTAATCCCACTTTAAAAACATTGCCTGTGTCTACTAAGGAGCTTGCTCATGCTCTAGTTATTTCTGACAATTACTGTAATTGTCTCCTAATTGGTCTCCTCAGAAACTGCCCCACTACCGTCTGTAATGAATGCTGCCGACAGATTGACTTTTTTTTCTCCTGTCACTCCTCACACCTCGCCCCTCTGTCAGTCCTTACATTGGCTTCCTGTACACTAAATGAGTTAATTAAAAATACTAACACTTACCTATAACGCTCGTAACAACTCTAGCCCCTGTTACATTTCTTCAACAATTTCTAGTTATGCCTCTTCTCCTGCCTGCTACTTGCCCCCTTACTGCTTACTCGTGGGCAGCTCCTTTCCTTTGCAACAGTATGCCTACCCCAATCAGGCTCTCCCCATGTATTTAATCATTTAAGAAGTCCATCAAAACTCATCTCTTCAGAAAAGCTTTTGGCCTTCCAGAGTTCTATTGCTTGTGAGTTTCTTGCTTTCTCTTAAAAGGCCACACTCCAGTATCACCTTCCCATTCTGCTATTTTCCCACCATGTTTCTCAGAACTTATACTACTTCCTGAATACCTAATCTAACCTATATTACTAAACAGAATATATGTTTGCATGTATCCACTCTTGTATTTAACCAATAACTGTTTAAAACAAACATGTTTTCAAGTAATTTAAAGTAACATTTCATTAAAAAAAAATGAAAATACTTAAATTGAGTAGATCTATCCCGGATGAAAATATGCATGTTTTCTTTTTCATGGACTGTTACACCTCATTGAGGTGTGTTACAGGCAGTTGCTGTGGGCAACTGATTACCTGTTGAGTTTAGGAGCAAGGTTCCTTTATAAAAAGTACTGATTTTCTCTTGAAATTACATTTAAAACAAAAAAACCACTTCACACTGAGAGTACTTCAAAGGGACACTATAGTCACCCGAACAACTTCAGCTTAATGAGGTTGTTCAGGTGAGAACTATAGCTCCTGCAGCCTTTCTCGTGTAAACACTGTATTTTCTGAGAAAATACAGTGTTTACATTGAAAGCTAGGAACACCTCCAGCTGCAGTCACTCAGAGTGAACCAGAGGGACTTCTTCATAATCCACTCAAATCTGCTGTGCACGAGCATCCTGTGATTCAGTATCTCCTCCCACTGCATGCAGACACTGAACTTTCCTGATAGAGATTCATTGATTCAATTCATCTCTATGAGGAGATGCTGATTGGCCAGGGCTGTGTTGGAATCATGCTGGCTCTGACCTTGATCTGCCTCCTTGTCAGTCTCAGCCAATCCTATGGGGAAGCACTGTGATTGGATCAGGCTATCACATGTCAGCAGACTGCTTGTTTTTCCTAAGTCTAACAGCATGTAGATTTACAGCTTCTGTCTTGAATACATTAAGATTTTTACTATATTTATGGAGACATGAGGGGCCCAGGGGGGCTAGATGTTCATGTTAACACTATAGGGTCAGGAATACATGTAGTTGCACTGGTGACTATAGTGTCCCTTTAATCACACTGAAGTGCTTTGTGTTTCTTTTTAAATATACCTTACTCTTAACATATGTTCTGGAGCAATATACTACAGGCCCACTGATTCAGCATTTATGTAATTCTGGCACCTTGCACATATCT